CTGGACTTGCAAAAGGGAGCCTAAATTTCCGCATGGAACATATGGAAAAATGTTCCCGACTGCGTAACGTTAGTGTCTATGTAGACTATGGTATTTGGCCTGTTTGGCTTTTGTGGCAACCACAGTACATAAAACAAGTTCCTGGAAAGAATCGCGGCGCTTGTTGAGAGGCACTGCTTTTGCAGACGTTGGACAGTGTTTCGGCTTTTGAATCGCCAGGAAATCAACCGTTGTGCCGATTTGTCGGTGGTGATTGCAAGTTCTGGCTGTTGAGCGTGTGCGCTACTGTTGAAGGGAAGGGTATTTGTTGCGTGCAGTAAAAAGTCTATTCTGTGCAAGAGAGGAAGGATTGCTGTCGTTGTTGAGGCCGCGTTTTCGCCGCCGCTGTGATTCACGAGTTTCCCAGTTTATCCTCCAGATTGATGCAAGAAGTGATGCACAGTTTGCTGTACAAAATTGCGACGACATGCGCCCATATTTTTGTCACAAAACGGGCATTCGTGGCCGCTTTCGTTATTTGAATCTGCCTGTTCCATGTTTGTCGGTGTCCTGGCTTGAACGGAGTTCCTTTCAGGTTCGTCTTTGCAGTGGATGTGGCTGCTTGCTTCATCCCATCTCTTACGTTACCTGGTGGTTAAAAGAGATGAGCCTCAATTGTAAAAACATTGTATGAACCGAAACAGGTGGCAGGAATTCGTTGGCATAGTTTGCTTGAAGTTAAAACATTGAATGTTGAAACGAGATAGGTCTTGCTCGCCTATTTATCTTTTTGCTTTCGAGAATGAATTCACCTTTGCGTAGTTTTGTGTTCGCATGTACGAGGTTTCATGTTACATGGCAGCATCTACACATTGTGACATTTCTGGCACAATGCTAAGAATGCTATTGCCCACTAAATGCCAGCCCATAGGTACTGGGCCCGATTCACCTCTCCAGAAATGTGCTCGGTCAGAACCCTGGTGTCTGCCACGAAATGGCAGCGTGAATGACACGCTAATTACATTAGCTGTTGCTCTCAGCAACCCTGGCGGCACGATATACTATGGTAGACCGTGATTTGACGCTATCCATCGTGTTTTTTCACAACAGCTGGGATTTGACAGAATACAAATCAAACATCTCCAGTATTATATGCGTCCCACCAGTTTCACAAGCACGACTACTTGTGGAAGTAGTCGCGCTTGTGAATGTGAACAAGCAAACATGTTACCCTAGGAATAGAACTGAATAATGTTGGATGAGGTGGATGAGAATACTTACTTGGGGGGTGATTTAATGATCCTCTGCGCTTGTTACGGCAACCCTCATTCCAAATGAAGGAACATGCTTTCAGCGAGAGCAGACTTGTAGCTTGACTCTGGGAGTTCCGTTCGAGTGAAGGCAACGGTGGCGGGCATTTCGAACGAAACTGGGTGTATTTGAAAAGATCTCGACTTCTTGAGAAGATGGCTCGACCAGTAGAGTGTGCCACCAAAGTACCACTGTACATAGCATGCTAGAGAGTAGCCTATCTGTTGAATGTATAGCGGCTTGTATATTTTTCGCTTGTTACTTGTTTCTTGCAAGGAAGGCCCAGCTCCAAGCTGTGCGTTCTCCACAAGAAAGTGTCGGTTCTTGTGAGCTGTACAATACATCTATCGTGGTCATGTTGCAGTCAGACCAGCGTGTGTGAGGCGACTGTATTTCTGGTTGCATTTTATGGTTGCGAGCATTTATGTAGAGCATTCGGAGTGTTTTGTGTTGTCTAAGCCTGAACCCTGCTTCACAGGAGAAAAAAAAACAAAACAAAAAACTCCATTTGTATCTCATCCTCAGGGCATTGGGGAGTTGGATTTTCTGTGACCTTGCCAAAGTATGACTGGTTAGTCTTGGAAAAAGCCAAGCCAATTTACTATTTTATGATTTTCTACAAGTTTCGATTGTTTGCAAGGCAGGGCTGAGGATCTCTAGAAACATGTCTACATTGCCACTCATTAAAACAAATTAATGCAATCGTTCTGTCACTGGTACTGCTGTGAATTGCCTTTGGTACCATTTCAGCGGTTTCATCTTTGGCTGCATAAGATGCTCATAATTAATCTAATGAGGTGGGAAGCACGCACAAACCAGACTTCTGATACAGAAGAATGCCGTGGTGTGCTTGGTGGAAATCTGAACGGACTCTTTGTATCACAGAAACTTCATTTACTTACCCTCAGGGTTGAAGTTTTACAGAAAAGGGGGCTTACAAAAAGCACATTAGGTAGAACACCAGACCTTACATATTACAGGCTGCTAGCAAACAAAACGACATTATGGAAGATGCAGAGGTGATGGGGGCTGAACAGCGGTTCTGATCAGGGATTAATAATGACTGGGGTTTCACGTCACAAAATCACAGAATGATTACGAGTCATGAAATTATCGCCACCTGGTGTCCTTTAACGTTCACTGACAGTGCACCGTACATGACAGGCCTCTAGGCATTTCACCCCCATCGAAATGAGACCGCCTTCAGGTCAGCAGCCGAGCTCCGTAACCGCTATACCACCACGCTAATCGATCAGGGATTGGTTTCGGGGCAAATTGTATATTACGCTGGCATCCTCTTGGAAACATGAGCTCGGGCCGAAAATTACCACAAGATATGAACGACAGGGACCAGCGCATGGATTGAATCGGGGAGCTTTTCTGAATCTAGTTGCCGTTACATCCCGTGCCTACCTACGTCTCTTGGCTTCGAGCTTGCCGGGCCAGCGCAAAAGAACTCCGCTTTCACTGACGAATCTGTTCTCCCTCTCGTTTCGAGAATGGAACAGTGAACCTTTCGAGGTTTGCTCAAAGGACGGTTATAGTTTTTTTTTCTCTGTCGAAGCTCTGGTTCAGGCAAAGGTTTCTGCTTAGGGAGGGCGCAGAGGAGTTTTTCCAGAGCTTAGTTTCGTATGGCCAAAAGAGAAAATTGTGGCAGTGAAACACGGGGCGTTGATGTTCTTCATCGCGCTACGTGATCCGAGATTCGATGACGTGGCCCGCTTTTGCTGCAAGTTTTTCAGGCGACTTCATCTCTGTTTGTCGTTCTGCTTTCGAGCAAAGATGTACGTGTAGGTCGTAGCGGTTGTCGGCTTGTGCATATCGCCAGTTTGGTGTGTGTCTAACTCACATGTCGGAGCTATGCAAGTCCACAAACTGCACACACACACATTTTCCTGGGAATGCCAAAAACGCTTTGGTCTATTGCCTCCCCCCCCAACCATATTTACCTTGCAAGGTCAATTCTCCCCTCCCTATAGAAAGAGAAACTGTGATGTTTTTTTTTTTTTGCTTGTCAACAGTTATTGATGTATAGGAAACAATTCTCCATTTGTTTCATAATGAAAGCATGTTTGTAAATAGTTTGACCTCATCACAACAAAGTTGTATCCCACACGAGAATACCTTTGTTATGCCCTCTGAACTCTTATATGTTATATGAGGAGCTTGTATCTCTTGTATGTATATTTCGTTATATCTGGAAGTTTTTGGCTTCCAAACTTCCGGATATAATGTAATATACAAGGAAACACTATATGTTATATGAGGAGCTTGTGTCTCTTGTATATTTAGTTATATCCGGTTTCGTGGTTTCGAAATTTCCGAATATAACGAAAAATACAAGAGATGTTTCTGCCTGATGCCAGTATGTGATGAATACATGCTTATACTGAAAATCTGGTATGACAAAGGTATTTCTGTGTCGGATGTGATTTTGCAACGAGGCAGTAATTATAATATATTTGTTGCAGGCTAACATTGGCGATAAGAATTTCAGATCTACTTTTTTTTATGTCCACGTTATTTCATACTTCGTTAGCATACTACTGTCTGTGCACCTGCTGTTATCTCGAACAACCAAAGTGTCAGCCCAACGTTTGATTTTGCATAAGCACAGTTTACACTATGTCTCATTCTTTGAGGCTCGGGTCAACTTCGCAATCACCATATCTGCATTTAATGCAGCTTCTTTTTTTTATGCAAACACCTTTTGTAAAAACATTTGTAAAACTGGCACAGATCTTACCGCACTAGAAAATATGTTGTACTGTTTTTTGATTTTTCTATGAAAAAAATAATCCGCATGAGAATGCATCATCACAGTATATGTACTGCTAAACTATCGGTTCTTGAAAAAGAAAAAAAAAAACAACTGTTTGGAATATTCCTAGCTTACTTTTTAATCACCTCAATATTGGTATTGTATTGGCACTGCATGAGATGCGTGTTGTCAACAGGTTGTTTGCATGCCTCGAGTAATTATAGATAGATCCTCCTCGCAATTTGATTTGCGATTGTCATTTTGCATTTTACGATGTAGTTAAAAGTGCCGGTTTCTCAAGCATTTCAGCGTTGTGTCGCTGCAAACCAGGTTTTTGACTTGACAAAGTCGTTACTGTTTGTGCTCTGTGTTGAACGTTTGTGGATGAAGTCAAATCAATTGACATTAGAAGGATATTACGAACGACTCTGTGAGTCGTCCAGTTTTCTTTTTATTTTCCAAATGGAAAAGAGACCAATGTTGTCAAAGTCTGTGTGTGTGTTCTTTACTTTCTTCATTGATGCACTTATTGTATCCTTTCAATGCATGTGCACCTGAAATATCACTTATTTTGTACATAAAACTATGTGGGTAGTCAGTGTACATCTTTGGTTCACAATTTACAGCTGTCATTAATCGTGTATGCATGCATGTACTGAGTGGAAAAAAAAAAATCCAAGTCATGTTTTGGCTCCACTTTCGCGTGTGTTTTTCCCTTACTGGCAGAATTTGGTAGATTATCAACATTGACCAGGGTTGCTATTCTGCGGACTACCGAATTCCGCCGTGTAGTCAGAGTCCATCTTGTCGGCTGTGATTGGCTGAGAGGCCTTCTACAATCTCTGATTGGTTTTATATGCCAAAGGATTAGACATGGCGGTACTTGAGTGTCCAGAGCAGCACCCCTGTTCTTTTCTTTGTAACAGGACACTGATAATATGCAATAGCCTTTGTTGTTATTTTTTTTCTCTGTACAGCAACATTTATTCCGATTTGAAAGTTATACAGGAATATTCACGCACATTAGCACAACACTCAAAACATAGTTTCTCCGGTTAACACGATTCTTCTTTTTCTTTTTTTACATGTGGTAATTAAGTTGTGTGCCGAGTTCTCATCGAACTTGCCACTGCAAAAAAAGAAGAAAAGCAAAACAAATAAAATATGTCTGGTCAGTATTTGAAACTGGTGTCAATTAATTCACTTGCATCGATTAGTATTGTGCACGCACGTCTGTTGTACGTTTGCCGTGCACATTTACGGTGTCTGTTTAAAGATTGCACATATCGGAGGGCTCCCATGGAATAGAATACGGTATGCATTCACGGCTCGACAAAAGGTAATGCATCATGGTAGGCAGTCGATTCAATAAAATGGTATAGTTCCGTGCAATGAAAACATGCAATTCATCCCTGTGTTAAAGAATACGATGGGTAGCAAAATCACTCGTCATGAAGACAAAGCAGCGGTATAAGTTGCAGCTAAGCACCAGAGCCGTCTCGAAACGTATTTACCCGCAAATTCGCTTCGCCCGGAGCTGTGGCCGCAATTTGTTCGAGCTCGTCTCGCTTTTGTTGCTGCCGCCTGAATTTCTCAGGATTCCTTGATTCCCCGGTGTTCCTGCTCCTTCAGTCTTCGTTCGGCAGCCTCGGCCATCTGTTGCCGCTTCGCGGTCTGCGCCAGCGTCAAAGATCTACGCATTATCGGGGGACCACAGCGAAACATCCGGCAACTAAATGAGCTTATACGCGCCCACCCCGAACGTTGACGAGGTCAGCGAAAGCGCGTTAAAGATGGGACGAATTCTCGTACCGCGTCAAGCCCTTGGGATTCAGCTATGTCGGCGCCGGAACCTTTGAAGCAGCTCTCGCAGATCCCCATGACTGGCTCAGCACCGTTAGTTTCGGCCCTGGATTCACCCAAGAGCGTATGTAAACAAGCTCCGACAGCTGCCGGTGAGCGTTGCTTGACTGAGCTTCAAACGCTGCTAGTTTTGAATCGGTTTTAGCGAGAAGTGGCGGATAGCGTCTGGCTACGCTGCGACCGCAATCGTGGTTTTGTTTTGTGCATTAGTGCTAAATCTCCTCACCCAAACAAAAATTTTTTTGACTACTAAAATGAAAGTTTTTACCAGTTGTTGCGCCCTCTGTTTTATATTAAAAAAACCATTTTTTGTTATAATAGTAGCAGCAGTTGTAAAACGTAGTGTGCCTAATTTTACAAGATGACGCGACAAGCTGTGAGTTACTTCAAGTTATGGCTCTTGTTGGCGAATGGTTTTGTCGGTGGCGAGAGCGAAAAGCTCTCATGCGCAACGCGGTACGCCGTATACGTAGCACGTGTCGCGCTTGGTTTTGTTTCTATGCGCTTCGAGGCGCATGACGCATCGGTGGCGCGTTGATTTTGCTGCTTTCTTTTTTTGTCGTTTCCGAGGTTTACGCTGCGGCGACGAGCTGCGTTGTGAAATAAAGGAAAGTTGTTCCGCGTAACATATTCGTAAAAAAAAACCAAAAAAAAAGCACGTCTTCTGGTGCTGAGGTGTTACGAAGTGCTCGCATCAAATATATGGTGCGCGACTGAGCTGAACAGCGCTGCGCGCGTTACCTTATATGGCTGTGATGCCTCATTTTTTTTTTTTGTATCGTGACATTTTCTTGTTGCTAGTTGTTTCACGTCACTTTGTCGCGGCATTATTTGAACGTTGAACGTATTAAAATCGCTGCCGTGAACTCCCACGGCAGCTGAGACGATGTACTGCCTCTCAGTGGCACGTGGAAATCGGGGGATGTAGAAGCGCTCGTTCATTGCGGTTGCTTACGAACTTGTTAGCGAAATTGTACCGCGGTCGCTTAACTAACTGCCTTTTAGGGGACGGTTCGGGCGAAGCCGGAACAAACCTCGGCGCTGTCAAGAAACTGCAATGTGCCGACCGATAATGGAAATTTTTCCACGGCGAAAATAAGTCTCGGGTTCTCGTGCCACGATAACAAACTCGCCAAATCCAGTTGCGCAGGACCGCATGCACGCGCGCCCGATCGGACAACCTCGCAGAAAGCGTCGATATGTCTATTCGCGCATCATAAAATGCCCGAATGGCGCAAACTCGCGAAAATTGAATGAATCGAGGCATAACCACGTCTCGACGCGTGCGAGGCATGGCAGCTTCACCCCAAGTCCTAGCAGCGCAGCGGACGACGGAATTTTCCTATGGTGCCAATTCCGGGCGAAAACGGTTTTCGGCCAGAATCTGGCGCCAATTTAAGTTTTATAATTCATAACTTATTGCCTTGATTATTTTTTCCATACATCGGAAGCGACGCGGCCACAAAAAACGCTTTGTGTACATCGGTTCGGAGCCGAAGAGTGCCGAGCGCGGCGAACGTGGAACCAGTTCCAACCGGTTAGGGGAGGTACAATAATTGTGCGTGGTTGGTCCTCTACGGTGCGGGAATAGTGGTGTGTGCCTGCGTACGGGAGCAACATCGCTTCTTGGAGAGTTAAAATATATACTGTGGTGTGTGTTGTTCCCTTCTTGTGTGTCGGGAACCCCCTGCCCGATCGTCGAGTGCGTGAAAAAAAATTTTTTTGTACCCGGGGGGCTTCAACCGCGGCGCTGGATAAAACGTAAGTCGGTCGTGGTGTATTGTGTGCGGACCGCGCTGACTTGCCACCTAAGCGTGGCATGTACAGCCACAAAACGGCCCTTAAAGCTTGTGTAAGTTTTCCAGTGTGGCACACTGGTGTTCGATTTTGAATTGCACGCCAGCGGGACTATCACGCTATAGCGCCGGCTGTAAAATCTGGTGCCCGGCGCTCAGAGAACGTGGAGTGCTTGAGCGGATTCGCGCTTTTTTGAAACCGACGGTTGAAGGGACGGCGATTGGGACGCGTGTTTATGCGGCGAGATTGCATCGGTATGAAATAGATATCGTAGGGTGATGCTGCTCTCAGTCTGCGATAGTGAGCATTCGGCGGTGCCTTGGACCCAATTTCGCAGCACGACGCTCTCTGCAGTGATGTGACCCATCGTTTCTAGAGGAGTCGCGGGAGCGTTTTGTTTTTTTCGTAGCTGGGATATCCAACGGTGTCGTTGACCGTGCTGCTCAATTTGCGTGGGCACCGTTGGTAGGGCCAAAACCTGCGCGTATGTTGCGGAACGAGATGAGATTTCTGCAAACACCGGCGTGTGCTCAGTGATGCTTTGTCCTCGCCGAACCCTGAGCCAGCGTCAGTGCTGGCAATGTTTTTAATAAGGTCGTCTCGAGAAGACGATGTCGCAGTGTGTACGGCCTCAAAACAACGCGCGCGAGCGTTCTTTCTTTTTTTCTTTTGTAACGTTCGGCATCTAGCAAGGGGCATGCTTATTTTCGACTGGCTGCTGTAACTAGCCAGCGTGCATTTCCCCGACCTGTGCTTACACAATGCCCGAACGGTGATCGCGCTTACCGTTACGTAATGCTGGCGGAACTAGCGTGCGCTACGCTAAGAACTCAACGTGGAGCCAAACCGACAGCGTCCGGCGAGTCGTTAGTTTTCTCCCGATCGCTGATAGCCACACAGCCAGCTAATCCGACGCGACCGCACTTTTTCCCATTCATTTCTCGCGACGGGAACAATAGAGTTTGGGTGCATCTCCGCATTGCGTCCGATGTGAAACATGACGATAAAAATCGCAGTCGTAAGCATGTTTCCGTTTTTAGTTCGGTACAAAGTGAAGTATTGGAGCGGATTGCGGTGTGCAAAAACGTGCAGGTGTGACGGGGTCGTTGTAAACAAAGCGGCGTGCACTGGAAAAACGGTTTTACAATCGTCGTTCGAACTGCGTCGTTTCTTGTTGTTCATCGCGCAGTTGAGGCTCTGACCGAGCGTCTTGAACTCGCGTCGTAGGCTTCCCAGGCTTCTCCAAAACGCTGCTGCATCGAACTAGACCTTGTCTTTGTGTGGACAGGTGCCACGTTTTTTCGTTGTTGAGTGCTTTTTGCGCTACAGCGTAGTTTTCTCTTTCTTGGCTTGTTTGATAGGCATCTGTCGTTTAATAGAAACACGGGTGACGTGACGATGACCAGCCTGATTGGCCTAGCCTTGATCTATTTAGCTGAACGATTCGTTATTCTATACTTGGATGCACTCAACCAAGGCCTGCACAGTAGCGACCCTGTTTGTGTTTTTCGGCATCACAAGAGAACGCGTCGAAGTATGCGCGGTGGGACATTGAATAGCGCAGTTCGTGAACATCCTGTATTTTTTTTTCCCCGGGATGGCCTGCAGCTGTTTCAGCCCATTGCAACCATTCGCGCCGGCCAGTTTTTTTTTTTTTATTAACACGCATCCAAATGTGAGGGATGTAGCTCCAAGCTTGACACGGTTTCTTTTTTGTGTTTGTTTTCTTTCACTGTATTGATAATATGAGCCGATGCGACATTGTGAGTACGTAATTCATTCATCTGTTGTCTACACCAAATTGTGGTTACAACTTGTCACAAACTGGACTAGTGTGACATGCTAATGAGGTACCGTTTTATTTGCCATGTACTACTGATGTTGTGAGGTAACATGGCAACTAATGAAACATGATCCGACATGTAGCAACGTCACTTTGGACATGCCCTCTTCAGTTTGTGTTGCCGTCCAAAGCCACTACACAATGTTCAAAACTACACCAGTGACAGTGAATCAAAATGAAAGGAGGCAAACACAAATGGTGTTCTGTGGCAGGTCACATTAATGAGGGCTGAGCATAATTTAGGTCTGCCTTTACTAAGCACAGAGGAGCCGTGGGACTGTAAAAAGAAAGATCTATATATCAATCCAATCTGGATGTACGATTTTCCCGAGTCACTGTGCTCAAAAGCTTTAGTGTCATATAGCTTGGCCTGTAAGAGTTGTTGCCACCTCTTCAATATGTTTTTAATAATTGTGAGGAGCTATGTACAAAGACCTGCTTGGTGTTGAGATGAAAGTGGTATTGAGACGAGACTGTGATTTCCCTTGCGTGTACCTTGTCACAGTCAAGCATTCACAGTACTGGCTGATTGAAATGCATTATCTTAGGTCTAATTAATGACCATACTTCTGTTCTCACCTATTTCAGTTAGTCATATCGGCAAAATGTAGATGCAAATGCCTACGCAAGAGCCAACATTACCTTTAGTAACCAAATTTGTAGCTACATGATGGGGTTATGTCGAAAAATTGCACATACCACTATTTATACCGAAGGTGATGTCTCGTTTCAATTAGTAAACACTATAAACTGTGTAAATGTGACAGCTAATCGTTATTCCGACAGCCAGGCCTACAGTAACGATTTATATGTCATGAAAGATGGCTATATAGCATTCTCATAGAGGTTCTTTCTGTTGGCTCATGTAATAAGATTCCCTGGGCCTTTTAAGGTGCGGCAAATGGAATGAAAACTACCGTGAATGGAAAGTGAACTGCACCAGCTATTGAAAACAGAAATGAAGTTGCCAATCTAGCTCGTTTGCCTCAATGGTATTGCTTAACCAATGCACTGGCACGAACTACGCTCTTCATCCAGTTTGTGGACATGAATTAGCTCATATTAACTGGGAATTATGCGATTATCTCAGCCAGCTTCATAGCATATGGTTGCACTTTGCTTCCCTGGATAGGAAAGGCGCTCATGTGGTCGAGATTTGGGAGGGTCAGGAAAAAAAAAAAAAAAAACCTGCTAAATTGCAGGCCTGCTGTCACTTCTTGCAGTTTATGGCATCTAGTGCGAAGTCGAGGGTTTTGACCGGTGCTAGTATCTACCAAGTTACAATAGCTAATAACTTTTCTGGAAGTCTGCGGGACTCGCAAAGGAAGGAAAATATTATATGCTTGCTTGTAGCACGAAGCAAGGGATAAAGTCGGTGGAGATTTATTGAAAAAAAGAATCAACTTCTGTAGTGAAACCGCATGGGTCCCTTTTTCGCACAAGTGATTTCAGCTTTATCGTGATGAGCCATGTTACAGGAGTTACTTGGCACACATGGAAAGCTTCTGGTTGATCTCGTCTCCTGTGAAAAAATTAAATCTACTTTTGCTAGCACTTCAAGCAAAAGTCGGAAATTAGCTAGAAGTTCGAGGGTCCTCTTAACATTTTCTGGCATTAACTCTTGGAAAATCTCAAATAAACCGCAACATGTATGAAGAAAAATGTGGGAGGCTTTCTTAATCATATAACTAGTACACATGACCACTTTAAAAGAGAGGAGGTGGAGACAGGAATGTTTAACTTTTATGGAATAATAAATCTTTCTTGAGAAAGTCATTTTTCTTCGACACCCTTCACAAGCTTACTTTAATAGTGCTGTGCACCACGTGTAGCTGCGTCATTATTATTAGTTTTTAAGGTAATCGAAATTTTTGACTGTGTGTGTGTGTGGATGCATGCAGCGCGTAACTCCTTTCGTATTTTGTTTCTCAGGAGGGAAGTAGCCTGTGATCCTCTTTGATGTCGGTGCAAGTTGATGGGATGAAGCAGCCGCTCACACCGTTTGGGACGCCAGGTGCGCAGCTCTCAACGATCTTGCCTTTCTTAAGTGCAGTGTGCTGGGCTAGTGTTTGAAAAAAAAAAAACAAAAAAAAAACATGCTGGTCGGTCACATTTTCTTTTGTTGTTAATTATTGGCATTAACAATTTTACATGTGATATATAGACAACTGTATATGTGCGACTTATGGACAACTGTCTGTAAATGCATCACATCTGTGGACTATTCAAAGGCGCTCGGTGTTCACTACCAAAAATTATGACAAAATGTTTTGTGTTTTTTCAGTAATTAAGCTTAATTAAGTCATAAATATAAGTATCATATTTATCATAAAATCATTCATGTACTGGTTCTGCAAAAACAGAGTGATACCCCTGCAAACAGCATAGTGAAGTTTTGTTTTTGGTTATACTAGTTTCGAGCTAACAAAAATTCTACTTTTGATGTGGCCCGCCAAAAGTGCCACGTCGATCGTCCCTTCAAATATGGTACTCCCCTTCACCAAATTGATCATATTCAGCTATGCGCTGCATAATGAAGTGAAAATGCATTTGCTATGCAGGAGGTTATATTCATCCAAAGCTTGATGTATTTCGCTCTTTGTTTAGCCACTAGTGAGCACAACTTGCAAGCTGTCTACCCAAATGTGTACAAAGTGACCTAAAGGGTTAGTGCGATTGTTCAAGCGATTGTCAATGCACAACGCTGACGCCACCGAAATCATCTCGCGTACAAGCTGCATGCCGTAGCTAGGCTTTTCTGTGTTATCATGCTGTGCCATCTAGTGGTGCGCCTACAAAGCTTTCCTCCTTTCATGAGGGTTCAGAGATTGCGTTAGTGGCTGCTGTTGAGAATCGATTTCATCACGGGGGCACTCGTGGTTCAGTGCTGAAGGGTCGGGCCACTGTGCTTGAAGAAATCAGTGACACAGGATTGATTCTTGTGGAAGAATTTAATGAATTTCCAAAAGTCGTAGAATGTGTGAAGAAGTTGAATTGACCGGAGTTCAGTTGAAGGGCATCATCTCAGAATTGGATACCAATCTCTAAAATTCGTTTTTAGAAAAATCAAATTATTTGAAGTCGTATCTTCTGGCACATATCATCTTATTATTGAATCGAGCACATTTTGAAAACTGTGATTAAAGTCATTGCGCATAAAAAAAATAAAAATGCCAAAATTCTCATTCATAAGAGTACTAACATTACATTTTGAAAGTGAGGTAGCTTGAAATAGGTGTATGTGGATACACACACATCATCCTTCAAGTGCCAATAGCTAATATATCCTAGGAAACCTAAAATGAATTTCATAGTGTATGTTGTGCAACTGAGCACAAAACCGAGAACCTCAAGACATTGACATGAACTCATAATATGTGAACAACCAAGAACCGTTTAAGTTACGGGTTTGTGTGTGCTGCCGCGCTCCTTCCGTATTCCCTTTGCGTCAGTTGTCAACGCGGTACTCATGTGCATGCAATGCCGTACAACGAATGCGTCACTGTTTTGAGTGCCCACCTGGTCCGCTTTTTTTCAACAAAAATTTTCACTACTGCTTCTTTATATAACCGAAACTGGGACTGGCCACTACAATAATGGTTTTATATAACTAACCATTTCACGTTTGAGCAAGTGTTTTCATCCGTTATGAAGAATATTATCAGGCTACGTAATGTATAGGGAAAAAAAAAAAACTTTTGTGTCAGTACTATAGTACATTGTTTAAGGTGTAGCTTTTTCTTTTTTTTTTAAATCTTACAGCGATGGCGTGTACTATCTGTGTGTGTTCTTTTTTAGCATTTGGCATGCTTTCAAAAGGATGCTAAAACGCACACATGTTTTTGAAAGCCGGAAAGGGTTGGATGGGCAGGTTTAGTAAAATGAAAGGATGCACAAGATTGATGACTGCTGTTGTCGTGTGGGCGTGACATTGCAGTCGGTCTGCAGGTGTTCAGGTTTTTTTTTTTTTTAAATAACGCGACTGTGGCGGCTGTAACTTTTCATTTTCTCTGCATCCCCGTCAGGGCCGATATGTTAGGCTGAATCCCTTGACGAGCCTGTTGGTGTTAAATTGAAAAAAAAAAAAAAGAAATGAAATAAAAAAACAGCTCATGGACACATGCATAAGAAGAGAACAGTGGTCGTCTTGTCTTCTTGTGTACGTGTCCACAGGCTGGTTTTTTTTTTTTCGTTGCTTCAAATCTGAGGGTAGCTTGAATACTATTGAGATATGCGTAATCAAATCTTGTTAAAAAGTGTTGTTGTTCTAGCTACATATTCAAACAAAAATTTCTTCTGTTCATTTTTTTACTAAACTGAAATTACTCATATTTTGTCGCACAGTTTGGGAATGAATGTGTCCCCCTGAAAATTCTTTAAAGCACATTCCCCGCCTGAAATCGCAGACTACAATATGTTAATTATAATATATTTGCTCAAGTAAACAAAATGTCACTAATGTTTGTTAATTAGCTGAATATTCATTTGAATTTCTTGTGCAAATAACATCCTTTGCTGGAGATAATTGAGCTCATGGGCGATTATGCTGTCAACACAGGGGATTAAACTTAATATTGCCAAAAAAATGCCAGGTGAATATATAAAAACATAGCTTACGGGTAAAAAAATTATTACAAAAATTGTTTTCCATGCTTTTGGTGCTCTTGATATAGTGCTCATATTGCATTAATTCATGACTACTCAAAGTGCAGGTTTGGTTGTGCTTTTTTTTTTTGTTCCTTCTAATCGCTGTGAGACAAGCAGGATAAAACCTTGTGAAGGTTAGGATCGAATCAACGGTTTTATCAGACAAGCAGATATGCTTGCATGATGCACTGTCAAACTCAAGGATGTGGGTTCAATTCCCTGCGATAGATGCTGTATTTATATGTGTGGTGAAAATGGGTGGGGCTTGCATGTTTTAGACTCTGTGCATGTCAAAGGACCCAGGGTAATCAAAATAATTCAGAATGCCTCCTAAAGGCTCATTGACACTTCAGACTAACAGTAGTCAAGTGACTGGTCACAAATCTCCCCTTCGGTCGAAAATTGACCGTTTTAGATCAATTGTTCTCTGCACAATTTTTGTTTTGTCTCTTGACTGCTGTCGCAAACCACATCAAACAACTGGATGCTCAGAAGTAGTATGTCAGCTTACCAGACTGTGGCATTGCAAGCAGTCGAGCATAAGCAAATCCTCTGCAGTTAGGGGTGTAGGTCACAATCACAGGCGTAAACATCAGTCAGCTCTAGTCGCGTTTCGGTTGCCAGTCGTTGATGGTCGCTCGACCTACGTGGTTCACAGATGTTAAGGAGCCCCAGTATTGTGCCTTATAATGATATCATGCTGTTGGTGCGTAATGCTCCAGAATTCTTTTTTCTGTTGCTTTGTGATCTTTTTTATATCATGCTGTTGGTGTGTAATGCTCCAGAATTCTTTTTTCTGTTGCTTTGTGAACTTTTTAGTAATGTTGGTGCGCGGTTTGCGAGGCTTGTGTCCTGACCATGGGTCCTATGGTTGTTGTGGATATCTGTGCAGTCAACGGCAGCATGAACGCGCTGTCGGAGCAGGCGGCACGTCTGCTCGACTTCTCCCAGAAGCTCGACATCAATCTGCTGGACAGCGTTGTCTGCTGCATGTACACAGGCGAAGGACCACAGGTGAGCCAATGTTGCTTTTTTTCAGTGCCTACGCATTCTTTGAAAGAAAATGACAAAACAAAAACAAGTGGGCTTATCTAGACAATCGGAACTGGTAGTAAGGTGGAGAAGGGAAATGAATACGAAGGGATGCAAAATGCCGATCAGGACAACAGTGTGGTGAAATGGAATCTGCTCGCTTAAGGCAAGGTAAATTGAAGATCATAGCAGGAGGCCTTCGTCTGTCATACTGGGGTTGGCATAAAACATGCTAATGATGATGACCCACAAGATTGCACAGTAAATTAACAACGTGCTGGCGAGGGCAACTGGGTACTGCCTTTCAGGACAGTGTACTTACCACATCCAGTATGTGTATCGTATGTTTGTAGCGTGAAAAGAGTGGGCCAGTACTGTTTTGCCACAGCAGCTGACTGTAATGTAAAGCTGGCACTGATAGAGGGTAGCAAAATATGGTTTTACCCTTTAACCAAGGAATAAAAAAAATTACATCAGTTAGTAGCCAGTTTCAAGGAGCAAAGTATGAGTCTCAGAGTAATTGCAAAAGATGCTTACGTTTTGTCTGACAATTGCCCAGTGAGGGTATCTGCTGAAATTCGCCGGTAAGCAGTGAGGGGCATATGTGATGCGCTGTTTCTTCACTTTTAGTGAAGGAGGCAATGTGTTTCAAGCATGCACAGAGATTTGACAGCAAAAGAAACAAACTGAGTTTTGTTTATGGCTGAAATGCACGACCTGGAATTTTGGTGTTTTTATTTCTATAGCTTTAAAGGCCAACTCAGGCAATTTTTTGAGGTCAGTGAATCTCATTGAAATTCAATGGGTACGTTCATATGCACATTTTAAGCATTCATGCCAAATTGGAGGCTTGTGAGTTTCGCAGATACTTTTCAAATCAATATTATAAGTTGCCTCCAAGTGCATCACCTCGCTTGCGAAAATTAATGGCAACATTGTGCGCGTGACGTTGATTTTTATAAAAGCAGAAGTGACGCAACTGATGTGCCACTGCAGCATCTGCTTGTCTGCTATGGAATGTGCAAGTTTGGCCGGTGCTTCCTTGGTTTAACGTGCGATTTCCTTTTTCGTGTTGGTGGGCGTGCGATGGGTGGCAAGCGGTGTTGTGTTATGGGTCGCACATGATTCACCATATATTCACCATAACACCCTAAGCGTTTTAGTTGATCACCGTGGGCACACACTTGGACAACCTGGCAAGTAGTGCCATGTTGCGGCGTTAGCTGCAACCAAGCAAGTCCTGGTAAAGTATTACTTCATACGTAGAAGTGCACTCTGTTGAGTTTCAGTCTGGGTATTGCGGCTCTTTTGCCACTTAAAAATTATTTTCAAATTTGTTGAGCATTTCAGCTATTAGGCAAGTGAAAAGAGTGTCGTAGGAATATAGAAGCATCATTACCCTAAAATGGGCAAAAAATTGCTAGAGTTGGCTTTCAACCTCAAGTTTTTATTGCGCTGATTTATTACAAACATCCCGTTTTAGTTCCTACTTGAATCCCCCCCCCCTTACCCGTACGCTAGATACGCAGGAATTGAACTTTCTTGTCGAACTGTTTCCACGTAAACTCCTGAACAACAACTGGACAATAAGACCTTTAATTGATAAGTGCATGTCAGGCGCACATCTTGCCTCTGTTCATTTTAGTCTGTTTGCACAGGCAAAGCATTCTTATAGGCAAGGACGTGTACAGTACTTGATACGCAAAGGTCTAAGGCTGTGTAAAGCTCTTACTTTTCGCTTAATTTTGATTCTGACAATAACATCACAGCTGACGTTACCTTTAGCAGCCAGACTTGGAGTGACATAACGAATTTATCAATAGCAATTACTCATAGCAGTCTTTAATACTGACAAAGAAAAAATGATATTTCAGTCTATAAGTACTGCGCATGAAAGCAATTTTTTTGTGCACATACTTCCACCTGATGCTGCATGAATCCAGTGTCAAGCTTGGACAGTGTTCAAAAGATGCGCCTTAACGTATATAATGCATTAGTCAGCCGTGATGTGAACTCATTGTTTGGTTTTGGGGTACATGTTTTACTGCTATTGTGCCGTTTGTTCTGGAATCGTTGGCTTGTAAGTTATGTCTGACGGAAAATTGCATTGGGGCGTATGCATCACTAGATAACCATATAAATGAAATCGATTGCAACTTGTTGGTGCACTGAATAAATGTGAATGAGCATATGGAAATGTTTAAGTATTGAAAGTGCCCTCATGCAGAAAAATGAGTTACAAGGGGCAGAGGCTATGTCAAAAGAAGTAATTATGAAGATTATACAGAAAAGGCACATTATTGGCAAGAGTAAAAAAAAAGTGCCCAGAAATGGCATTTCATAATATACGCTTTCACAAGTAAATAATAGTAGCTGGATACGTACATAATTTTCAAGTACTATCGCACAAGGTTCAAGGATTAAAGGGTGCGGCAAAATCTCGAGCAAGCGCTCTGTTCCACCTTTTGCGAGACTTGAAGTATGCCTTCTCTTCCCCTTCCTGTTGTTCTTACTGTTTTGTTGATTTTTTCATTCACCTAATGAGGACAATTGAAAACAGTGAATAGATGCTTACTCAATGATGCATTTAATTAGGAGTATGTGTGCATTCTTTACTTCTAGCGGCTTTTCCTCTGCCAACACTAATTTTGATTCGCAAGCCCCCTCCCCCAATTCTTGTCGGATTTTTCTTTAGATTTTCTTTGGGTGGCGGGCGGGGCGGTGCTCGCTGTATATACTCGCATAATGATCGCACTGTTTTTTTTTCAAAAAAATTGACTCCAACTTCGGTATGCGATCATTACGCGGGGTAAATTTTTCGTGAAAAAATATTCCGAGCACTGAAAATGCAAAAAAGTCGCTAATCAGAATTCCTACAGTAGCTGTCATGAACATAACCAAAACTAAAAGTAAATTAAGGCTTACCTTTGTAATAAAATGCACGTATTATGCAGGAGCTACATGCATGGCACACTGCCCGTTTATTTTTTACCTCTCTGACCCCCTAACATTCATTCAGACTCCGAAGCATCACTGGCATCAGTGTCGTCGCCGCACGATTCCCTGTCAAAACCGGCAGTGTCTTCATTGTCCCACAGAGGGTCATCTTCCGTTCTGTCGAGGGCGTTGAAAATGCCAGCGACAGTCCATCCTGCCGCATGAAGCGTGTCGTCCAGCTGGAACTGGCGCTGAAGTCCTTTGTGGCTACTCCCAGCCTCTGGGAGACTGTGCATGCCTGAGTCCGCATCATGTCTAATGACACTGCATAACCGTTCTTGCGTGTGTCCTTCACGTATACGAGGACTGCCTTTTCAATGTCGGGGAACTTGCCAGACTTGGGTCTGCGGAAAGCCCATTGCGTGCTGTTAGTAGCCATGAGCATGTCGCGCTGTTTTTTTTCCATTATCGGATCCGGATTTTGTCGACGCTGAAGTGTCTGCCGGCAGCGCGGTTGCCGTGGTCTATACGTAGTCAAGCGCCTTCAGCTTGAATGCGGCAGTAAAGCTCGCATACCGCCCCATGATTAAACGGCGCTTCAACACACAATCACAAAGCACACACACACACAAAAAAAAACGTGGTCTCAGGGAAAAAACAACAACATTGCTGCGGATTGAACACAGGTCGACCAACAGGCGGCCGCCGCTGTAACAGTGCGGGATCTCAAAACAAACATGGCGGCTGACGGAGCGAAGCACTCCTTGGAGCAAAGCCACCGCATTTTTTTTCTTCTTTGCATCAGTTATGGAGGTTGTCAGTACATCACGTGCGTCAAAACAGTTTCTTCCATCTAAATAAGGAATGCTTTAATTTAGAATGGGAAATTTACGGCATTAGCATAGTGATGTCCGCTTTCAGATCACAGAAACAATGATACGTGCGTTCAGCTAGACTTGGCACATGATGTGTCGATGCGGCAAGTTCAGGGTGTGATCATTACGCAGGGGGGGGGGGGGGGGGAGAGTCGAATTTAGACGACAAAATTTAGGGGTGCGATCATTATGCGAGTAAATACGGTAGTTAATAAAAGTATGCAGGTGCATGTGGCGCGAAACAGGCCCGTAGTAAGTTCTTCGCTGAATCACAAAGGAAAAACTATGGCATAGTGGGCACTTTGCAACTGCAGTTGAACTAGGCAGTCTAGGATGGATAGTTTCAATAGGATACTTTGAAAAAGCCAGTGTTGCGTGCGCAGACATTAATTTCTTTTCTTGCAGCATGGTCCAAAGCGACGCGAGCGGGACTTGGTTATGTTATTGCATTCTGCTCTTGAACGTAAAGCTCAAACGTTTTCTGAGCGTTTTTTCTTTTTTTTTTTTTTGTTTCTCTACGCAGCAACGGTTGGCCCAGGAAGTGCTGACGACGCTGAAAGAGCACCCGGAGGCGTGGACGCGGGTGGACACCATCCTGGAGTTCTCCAAGAACCAGCAGACCAAGTACTATGCACTGCAGATCCTCGAGAACGTGATCAAGACGCGGTGGCGGGTGCTTCCACGCAACCAGTGCGAGGGCATCAAGAAGTACATCGTGGGGCTCATCATCAAGACGTCGTCGGACCCCGAGAGCATTGACCGCGAGCGCGTCTACCTCAACAAGCTCAACATGATTCTTGTTCAGGTTTGTGCCTTTTGCAGGTCAATGCCATCCTCTCTTACGGTCAGGCAAAGTGTAGTAGCACAAAGTGTTGATGTTCAGTGCAGAAGTAGTTAGTTTTGGTATACAGCAGACTCTTGGTAAATGAAATTTGTTAGACAGGGCTGCTGTTTAAATGTAGCAACCACCTCAGATATGATCGGTGTTTGTACGTAAACTCTGCACCCCTGTTCATCTGTTAGTAAACGTAACATATTTTACTGGCTCCTTCATCTTTCGTCTACGCACATGTCTATGTACATGTGTGTGTCATTGCTGTGGTATTATTGCTACTACCCTCAAAGCTGGATATAACAAATATGGATATTGTGAAATTTTGGTTATAAGAAAGCAAATGAAAAGTAGTCTTATCATATAGTGTTGAAAATATACGTTTATAATGAATTTTTGGATATAACAAGAATACTATAAGAAGGTGTCGGATGCAATTTCACTATAATAAGGTTTGAATGGGAGTGTTTTTGAGAGCCTGGGCTGTAGGAATCTTAACGAGAAAAGTGATTTCGCGTTTGCCTGCTGCAGATTCTCAAGCGTGAGTGGCCCAAGAACTGGCCCTCGTTCATCAGCGACATCGTCGGGGGCCAGCAAGACAAACGAGAGCCTCTGTCAGAACAACATGATCATCCTCAAGCTCCTCAGGTCAGTTGCCGCATCTTTATTTTTAGCGAAACATTGTTCACTGCAGCAAATGCAGGAATTGTACCAAGAAAGCTATGCTGAGCGTTTCGGAAGTGGGACATTGGGGTTCGGAAGTGGGACATTGGGGCTGCTGGCTTGTTTGCGCTTTTTTTTTTTTCATGTCTTTTTTTCTCTCTCTTTCAGTGAGGAGGTCTTTGACTTCTCGAGCGGCCAGATGACGCAGGCCAAGGCAAAGCATCTCAAGGACACCATGTGCAACGAGTTTTCCCACATATTCCAGCTCTGCCAGTTTGTCATGGTCAGTTGAGTGAACTTCCTAGTTCGCGCATAGTGTGCCTTGTTAATATTTTGTCAGTACTCACTGTGCAAAACCAACCAGCGCACATCTTTGCAAGCCTTGCTTGACCTAAAGCTGATATGTTGGCTGTCACATTTTTAAGTATTGTATTTTCTCGCGTACAGCTCGCAACCCGAACTGCGATTCAAGCAAAATTTTCTGAAAAATGGTCCCCACATATTGCCGGGAAGCCGCCCTTGTTCACCGTAATTTGTGTTTCATGTTTTCACCCGAGCCCAAAATTTAAAATATTGTGTGTGTGAGCTATACGTGAGCAAATGCGATACGCTTGATGCTAGTAGGGCCTGTATTTTGTAACATCCTGTTTCATTTTTACTACCGTATTTACTCGATTCTACCGCGTCCTCGATTGTAACGCGCACTCGGTTTCCACGACGAAAAAAAAAAAAAGTAAGACATCGATTGCAATGCGCACCCAGTTTTCTCGTTGGCCCGCACGATCACACTACTCGGGAAAACGATTCTTTTCGGGAGCGTCTTCCATTTAAATATGAGGTATGGGGGAAGCTTGTGCCTATCTGATGTGCAACAAAGCATTGCCATCACTCTTGTTTTACCGTGGCCCGATGTCAGCGTGCGAACTTGCTTCGTCCCCTTCTTCTCAACAGTTGTGGTGCCAGGCATGTCGAAGTAAAAAGGAGTCTGATCGGCGTTCCCGATTTGCCCAAGCAGGTAGCCGTTGTTGTGCCGCAAGTTTAGGACGAACCTCTGAAAACTGTGAAGCTTTTCATCGTATTCCTCCGCAAAACTTTTCGCATATGCCCGTTCCCCTTCTGAGGGAAAAGCCTTTCCTCTTCATAAATTTAGTTAGCCAGCACCTGCTCGCTTTGAACTGGCTCCCCGTTAGCCCTTTTTCTAAAGCTAACTGCATAGCCCGCACTTAGAGCAGTTATGTCGTCACGGGCCACTGTGCCGCTCGCTGCTCAAGCATATACTCGGCGAGCAGCTTTTCAATTTGCGGAAACCGACCCTGCTTTGGTCCACGGAAGCCTTTGCATGAATCTTTGACAATCTTCTGCTTTTGTTCCCGCCAGTCCCACACACACGTTTCTGGAACTCCGAACGACCGCAATGCGGCCCGATTTCCATCTGTTTCGGCGCATGTGATGACTTTTCTTTTAAAAGCGGCATCGTGGTGCACTCAACGTTGAGTTTCTGGCGTCTGCCCTTCCATGCCGTCGATGCTAATGAACTACAAGATGACGAACTCCTCAGCACACGTACGAAATGCCGTACATAAGAAACACATAGGCACAAATGGCCGACGCGCCATGCCGAAGCACGTAGGGGGCGGTCATTTTAGAAATGCCGATGGCAATAGAATGACCGTATTCATTTTTTTTTTCGCACTCGATTTTAACGTGCATGCGATTTATGAACTCGCTTAACCGGAAAAAAGGTGCGCGTTAGATTCAAGTAATTACGGTATGTGTTGCACCAAACACAGCCTGTGTAAGGATTGCGATGCAATGGTTTGCAAGCCACATCTTCAACAAATGGTCGTATGAGTAGGAAACAGAGTTGGTCATCAGAGAATGTGTCACTAGAAATATGCGAAACGTTTCCTTAGTGCTTCATTCTCAAAATAGTTTTTGTGTCTCACTAGGGATGGTGCAGGCTTATTTCTTGGCACCCAACTGTCACATTTTTATGCAGGTTAAATGTGACAAAAACAATAACACAGATATAATATAGTAATATATAGCCATTCATTGCAGCATGCCATACAATTATGTCGTTCGTTTATCATGCAAGGTTTCATAACGTAAACTCTTTTTTTAAAGCCCCCTTTTTTTTTTTTTTTAGGAGAACTCTCAAAATGCTCTTCTCGTCCACGCCACGCTTGAAACTCTTCTTCGGTTTCTCAACTGGATTCCGTTGGGTTACATCTTTGAGACGAAGCTCATCAGCACACTCATCTACAAGGTGAGTCTGAGCGGGCACCGTTTCGACACTGTGGTCAGTCGTCCTCAACAGATGATGAATTTCTTGAACCTCGTCTCGCCTTTCTCTGCCTTCCTTGCAGTTCCTGAATGTTCCTCTGTTCCGCAACGTGACGTTGAAGTGCTTGACGGAGATCAGTGGTGTTAACGCGTCGCACTATGATGAAATGTTTGTCCTGCTCTTCACTCAGACCATGGCGCAGTTGGAACAGGTGAGTTCTGCGCTCTCGGTGTTCCACACCTCGGTCGCGGTGAGTGGTAGTTCTCGGAATCGTTACTGCATTGACATGATTCTCACGTAAGTCCGATTTTTTTCGAGCTTGAAGTACGAAAATAAATGGGCAACTGATAGTGATGTTCACCTATTGAGCTATATTCACCCAACGGACGTGACATGTCGCGTGACGTCACAGTCGCATGGTGATTTTGCTTGCTCTGCAGCTAGCATTCACACTACAGGAATGTATATTGTTAAAGCATTTTTGCTTCGATGAAGGTGAAAATTCTTGAGGCCCGTGTACCTAGATTTAGGTGCACATTAAAGAACCCCTGGTGGTCGAAACTTCTGGTGTCTTCTCTCTAATACGGAATCTCTCATAATCATATTGTGGTTTCGGGACGTTAAACCCCAGCAATTATTTTATTTATCTCTTCCCCAAGATCCCACACGAGGTTTAGACCTCCGTTGTTCTGTGAATCCTTTTACGGGGACCTGAAGTAGCGCTGTGAGAACTAGTAGATGTGGTCACGTGATTCGCAATTCACAGGCTTGGATCACAATTTCTTGCATTGTGTGAATGTAGCTTTAGGCACGGGAAGATCAAGTCTCGATCAGTCTGAGACTTCAAAGCGTAGACTTGCCAACCATGTGTTCAGGGGAAGCTTTTACAAAAAAAGTGCTGTCCATTTCCCACTAGGCCTGCATGCACATTCCCTGTGGAGTTTCTGATTTTAATGTCTACACATTGGCAAGTGTGCGTAGGTGTCTTGCACTGCGTGGCAGTCATGAGTGCAGCGTTCTGAACTTGTCCCACGCAGATGTTGCCCCCGACGACGGTGATCAAGGAGGCCTACTCCAATGGCCAGGATGACGAGCAGAAGTTTATCCAGAACCTGAGCTTGTTCCTGTGCACCTATCTTAAGGAGCATGGTGCGCTCATCGAGAAGCGGGCCGACCTTCTTGAAGTTCTGCACGCTGTACGTGTGCATTTTACCCTTTACAAACAGCGAAATTAGGGCAAGTTAAGGGAGGATGCGGCTTTTGATAGCAACTTTTTATTTTTTATGGATTTTGATGAAAATTGGCACACTTGTGGGAAATGTTTTTTAGTGCTACTCTTGAAATTTCATGAACATATCTTCACAACCTTTTTATGTACAATATCTTTCTCCTTTTGGTCTTGTTCTGAGTTTGACTCGCTTAAAAAACGTAATGTTTGCAACGCAATTTTTTCACCTTCTCATTTCTCATGAGGTTACTGTGTAACAGGCGCTGATGCTATGTACAATATGTCAAATAGCTAATCATCAAAAGCCATACTGAAAAAGCAAGATTGTCATGCCCTGGACTGCACTTTAAACTAAGTTGGTGTTGCACCAGTCAGAAAGTCAGATTTGTCAGAAAGAAGTCTCAAACACAACAACCACGTTCATTGGGGCTGTTGTTTTGCCTATATGTAGAACTATTCAGGCATTGTATTGATAATGATGCACTTACTGACTTATTTGGGCGCATGTTGAAGAACCCCAGGTGGTCGAAATTTCCGGAGCCCTCCACTACGGCGTCTCTCATAATCATATGGTGGTTTCGGGACGTTAAACCCCACATATTATCATCAACTTACTGACTTGTTTTCGAATAAATATATGCATTCTTAATCAATTGTCATGTGCTAATTCTTATCTAATAACTGATTTTGTATATATATTTTTTACTTGGTGTCCTGGTTAAAATTTATAACACTCAAACTTGCATGCAACAAACAGAGACAGTAAATTTTTTAGTATATACAGGCTTTTGGATATAATGAAGCTATCCTCGTGTCAGGCGTGACAGTTATATTGAGGGTCAGAATGTAGGTGCCAAATGGGTCTTGTTTTGTGTCCATCAGACACACTGACCCTGCGTAGTAATTAAATAAAAGGTTAACTGTGAAACTGCTGCCAATGCATCATTGTTGTCTGTGACTTATCCATGGCAGCAGCTAGATGTGCCTCTGTAATTTATTCTGCATGTTGCATGCACTGCAGGCATTGCATTACCTGCTGCTCATCTCTGAAGTGGAGGAAGTGGAAATCTTCAAGATTTGCCTGGAGTACTGGAACGCGTTGGCCTCTGATCTGTACCGAGAGATCCCTTATGGCCTCGGGACAGGTGCTCCGCTGTACGTGGGCGGAGAGCCTGCACGGAGGAGTCCCGGCTCTCCGCAGTCTGCGAGGCGCCTTTTGTACGGACCCGTCCTCACCAAGGTATGTATCCGGCGGTTCGTCTGAGTCTTTTGTTTGGCCCCGCCGCGGTGGTCTAGTGGCTAAGGCTGCTAACCCGAAGGTTGCGGGTTCAAATCCCGGCTGCGGCGGCTGCAATCCGATGGAGGCGGAAATGTTGTAGGCCCGTGTGCTCAGATTTGGGAGCAGGTTAAAGAACCGCAGGTGGTCGAAATTTCCGGAGCCCTCCACTACGGCGTCTCTCATTATCATATGGTGTTTTTGGGACGTTAAATTCCACATGTCAAGTCGAGTCTTTTGTTTGGGAATTCAGGCTCATTCTTGCAAGTTATATAAAACATAAATCCTCTCGCTTGAAAAAGATACACTCGTTTGTTCCTGCACCATCCATTTCAAGTACTCTGAACCTGAAAAGTGCGCTCTCTTCCTTTTTTTTTCTTTTGTTTTCTGTAGTGTTAGTGGCCGAGTTATTTAAAATCCTTAATTGTAAAACTTCCACATTCAAGTTTTTTGAAGCCTTTAATTATCGTAGGTTGCGTTTAAGTTCATCAATTTTGTTTTCATTTACCGTTAGCAGATTAGAGTTGCACATCTTACCATGAGATTTGTGCATGCCAAGAGACGAGACAGCCCAGTCCACACAGCTTTCTTGTGCTAAGCAGCCATCTTGTCTTTGCCAACTTGTGGCGGTTTATTGCTTGTTCCTTGTGCGATCGAGAATACAATGTTTGATAAGCCTGGCATTGTTTTCAAGTTGTTAGACTTTGTGGTTCCCTAATCCTTAGAAGATTCTTTGTACTTGTTCTTCAATTTGTTTTTCCCAGCAAAAGCTGCTTTTGACGCAGTTCGAGCTGGGGAGTTTTGCCCTGAAGCTCATGATGAGGCTGTTCTTTCTCTCTCCCTCCCTCCTCCTTCTTCAGTTGCGGTACATCATGATTGGCCGTATGGCGAAGCCTGAAGAGGTGATTGTCGTCGAGAACGAGCAGGGTGAGGTGGTGCGGGAATTCATGAAGGACACTGACGCCATTCAGCTGTACAAAAACATGCGGGAAACACTTGGTGAGCACTGCTTTCACCTTTCTCGCGTTGAACGCTTACCGTCTTTTCTTGCATATAACCTGTATCAAAGAATATATTCTTAAAAGTGCGGGTGCAGGTTATATACATAGGCTGTATGCATTATTTTTCTTTACTTTAGCTACGTTTGTCTTGCTGACATGTTTTTTTTTTTTTTTTTCTAGTATATCTGACTCATTTGGACTACCTCGACACCGAGCGGATCATGACAGAGAAGCTGCACTTTCAGGTCAATGGCACGGAGTGGTCTTGGAAGAACCTCAACACTGTACGTAGCTCTGAGACTTTTACAGGGACATAAGGCGCGCTGAGGCGTGTTAGAAACTCGTTTCTTCTCTGATTGGGCTATGTGTTGCGAAGGTGAAAGCTATAGTAACTGCACGAAGTTTCGGTCCTTATATGTATTATTATTTGGGGGAACTGTGTGGTCATACAGCCATTATGGGGATGATGGGTACTCTATGGATTTGCCTAGTCTTAGTGCCTGTGGCCTCAAATGCTTTTGTGGGAATGTTTATTCTTGCATTTTTGCATTTGTTTATGATAGAAAAATGGCTCTTTGCAAACCGTAACAAAATTGGTTGCTGGGCTGTTGGCTCATAACTTTGAACACTGGATAGGGCAAATTTGAACAAGACAAGGAAGGATCATACCTGCACAGGACAAGCACTGCTGGCAACAAATTTAGTCGGGAAAGACAGTGCAAAAAAGATACGGACAGAGAAACACATTACACATAGAAGTGCTGAACTCGCAACAACTGCAATCTTTATTACATCAACCGCACAATTTACATCACACCATACTCTGCACACCATTCTTAAGGGGGGAGGTGGCTTTGAAAAAAAACTGTTTTATTTGTCGACCTACAGCAATGAAATTTGGCATGCATACTCATAAGTGTCTAGAATAGGGAAATATGCAGTTTCATCATGATAGCTTCAGTAGTTCTCAAGTTACATAATGCTACACAATCCAATTACATGGTCTGCTCGTGGAAAGCCTAGCGCTGCAACAAAACGTGCCAGGAAGCTGCGAATGATGTTGATCTTTACTCAAAATAAAGCTACAGGGTATGACACTCTCGGAATTTTTTAATAAGTTCTCGTTTTTTTTTTAGAGATCATCATGGCTGCCAACCCACATTGTCAGAAACAATGGCACGGACAAATCATCGTCTAGAAAAATAACATGGCCACAAAACAGAAATTGAAGATTGCTGTACCCACAAGCAGTGTTCAGAGATTCAGGGAAAAAAAACAGAATCAAAATCGGTCCAGTCATTCTCGTGCTACTCTTTCCACGAGCAATGCACAATGTCCAAAATACACTTGTGAGAAAAAGCCTGTCGAAGTTTTCGACAGGCTTTTTTTCAATGAACTTTTTTGTTTCTCGTTGGATATTGATGAAAATTGGCACAGACACTAAGAATAACCTCACAGTGCTTTCATAAAAATTTTGAAGCGATACCACAAATACTTTACGAGAAACAAATTATTTCTTCACTGAACCATGTGGAGGGGCTGAGCATAATGTCAAAAAAAAAAAAAAAACAGTATTGAGAAAGCTGCGTTTAAAGTTTCAACTTTTCTGTATGTCTCTAAGACACCTAAAAATTGTGATCTCAGGTTTGTCTTGTGATATTTGACTCCTTTTCATGAGTTACAAAGAACAAGTATGAATTTCAAACCAAGTTCTTTGTATGAAGGAGTGGTGTGATAAGTATGACAGAAAAGATTGTGATTGAATAAAACCATATACTGAAATTATTAAACATACTTTTTTGTGCTGAAGTTGTAATTAGCGTAATTAAGTACTTGATTACAAATATTCACTGAACTTTTTTTTATTTGGAGAGAGGTTTATTGCATCAGAAAAATGGATCACACCATGACGGCCTATGCCTTCTTTCCAAATAACAAAGTTATGGGCAGAAGACTGGTGGCACGGGAATTTCTAGCAGTATAATTAATGACACGAAACGGGCATATAAAAATTCGTGCCCCTGATTCACACATGCTCTTTCGCCGCTCTAGCCGTGAAACGCATCATCATACAGCCGGTCGCGGAAATTCTAATCTACAGCAATTCATTAACCTCGGAACATTCATAGACGTTCGTGGAGATATCAAGCACGGCTCCAAGCACGTCTGAATCGCATCACAAAAGCTTACTGACGGCACTCCATATGACCGTGGGGTGCGTGGCCACGTGGAGGACAGTGCAGCCGGCGCGTAATGCACTTGCCGGCCGCGAAATGAGTAACTACGAAGACAAAAAATCGGCACGCACTGCACTTGGCATCGCATTTTCGAATGACGACGCGCGAAACTGCTAGCCGCTGTTCCGAGCGATCCTTGAAGGGGGGGGGGGGGGGGGTGACGAGCTTGACTGTGTTGTCCGCTGCCGATGCGTAAAATGCCCGTACAATATTCGGAGGAGCTAGCGAGTGATGTGGTACATTCCTTGCGAAGAAGCACGTCACCAAGAGTGCGCTTGCGCGTCGTTCCTGCCCGCAGTCTCGCTGTCAGCGGAGTTAGGCCTAAAGCCGACTCCGATGACGCGCCGCACTCGTTGACCGCCGCGCGCCCGCTCGTAGTAATCTGATCGTGCATCCGGTGCGGCCACTCGTAGTAATCAGATCGTGTCGCCGCTTACAGCTTCGTTGCTTGCGAAGAAACACGTCGCCACGAATGCGCTAGCAGGTCGTTCCTGCCCGCAGTCGGCGGAGTTAGGGCTAAAGACGACTTCAATGACGCGCGGCGCTCGTAGACCGCGCTGACGCTCGTAGTAACCTGATCGCGCATCCGCTTACTGCTCGTAACTAAAGCGTAGTTATATCTTAAGTGATTATCAAGCCGTGAACACGTCACGAAGTGGCGATTTTCGAGAGCCATGTCCTCGCGACGCACAAGCAGCAGACGACGATCTCCCGGAGCGAGCATCGGGCCAATGGCGAGGCGAGCTGAGGCAACATGGCGGCCACGGCCAATCAAGGGCCTCAAAACGACCTTCAAACATTTGCTTTTTGCTCGCTTGTTGTTAAAGGGAGGAGCCAGCTGAGGCGGGAAAGTTAAACACGGAAAAATTCTCTTTCCGATGAGCCCAAGAAGCCGGCTCCCGGCCCAAGCATAGCGAAGCTATTATTTTTTGAAAATCGCCGTTTTCTCGCCATTTCCAGAAATATTTTTGCTACCTAGGTGGGTGAAACGAATTTTCCGAAGCACTTCTGCGCGGTTTTCAGTGTAGATATTTTGGAACCAGATAGAAAAAGGGTTCCAGAAACTGAAAACTTGAGTTTCAAAAAATCGATTTTTTTGCCATTTTTCGCGATCCCAAAGCCGCGTCCCCCCTTAACAACCCGTCGAACAAAAAAAATCAGGTGGGCAAACTAGATGATCACTGAAATCCATCACATGTACATGAATTGCATCATGCACGTGTCATACTTTAGTCAGTACAGAGGCCACTGTCGATATGTTTCTCAAAACTTGACGTGAAATCTCCTTCAGAAATGATTCATATATGTATGAGGTATGGTAAAGGTGTTTGTTGAAATGGCATTGTTAGGTTACATTTTGCTCGAACGTGCAGACTTCAGTTCTAGACCCCTTCGGTAGAAGATTCTATAGCAGAACGTGTGCAATATTGAAGCATTCCACCATTGTTGAACGATCGATCTATTGTGGCTCATACACGTTTTGGGTGTGAAAAAGAACAGATTTTTTTTTTCTCTGATTTGGGGCAGACACCAACTTTTGGCTGTCAGTCTTGCATTGCCCGCGACATTACTGGTGGAAATGCTGGGTACCTGTACCTTGGCTGTGCCAGCCAAGCTGGATGCCTTGTTAAGCCTCAGTCTGTTGCAAGTTGCTGCTTGCGTCCCGAACGTGATGGTGACCTCTGAACTTTGCGCGTGCAGCTGTGCTGGGCCATTGGCTCCATCAGTGGTGCGATGCATGAGGAGGACGAGAAGCGGTTCCTGGTGACGGTCATCAAGGACCTGCTCGGGCTGTGCGAGCAGAAGCGCGGCAAGGACAACAAGGCCATCATCGCTTCGAACATCATGTACGTAGTGGGGCAGTACCCGCGCTTCCTTCGCGCCCACTGGAAGTTCCTCAAGACTGTCGTCAACAAGCTCTTCGAGTTCATGCATGGTAAGTCGACGCAACTTTTCCTCCTCCCGCTCTTGCTGCTGCGGGACTTCGTCCCTTGCTTAGTTTGGCCACAACAGAGAGTTTGAGCCTGGTCACTGTGTTTTCTCGCATATAACTACCCCTTTGCCCCCACTCTAATAGGGAAAAAAAAAAAAAAACTTAAGAAACAGTTCCTTGTATTACCTGAACATTTCAGTGGTTCAAATTAACTTTGCGCCTTGGTTTAAACAACACCACTAGATATTTTCGAATATTGCAAAAGCTTCCTTTTCACTCTCTTTCAGCCTGCTACCCCACATACACTGTAATTTTCAGTCATTGCCGTCTGTGCTGTCTTACTAGCGTTACCATTTTGAAGCCATCTTGCTAACAAAATTTTGCATGTAATTACGGTGCATAAATTTAGTTGAAACTTTTCTGTGTTTCTTGCTTGAGTTATATGTGAGGAAATGTGGTATAGCGTAGAGGCTTTTATGCTAAATGTAGTTTGATATGGAGTACAATCTTGGAACTTTCACAAACCCAGGAAAGTTAAAATTTCGTGAAGGAGTTTGGTTTACTGATAAAGATGCGTACAAGTGTAGCACCTGTCTACTGTGTCAAGTATGTTAAGCATAAAGAATTGAAGGGATCAGCTAGTTTGTTTTTTTAAGTATTCCGTGACTGGTGGTAATTTGATGGCTTGGGCTTTGCGAGTTTCAGTTTCAGGGAACTGGCGTTGTAGTGAGAACAACGCGACTCCTACTAGTCCTGTTGGTCGCCGAATAACATGCAGTTGTTCGTGTAGGTTTTCTGGCACTGTTTTTTTTTTTTAATATATGGCTGTCTGTGTAGGTGTTGAGAGAGTATTTTCCAGGTCGTCACTATTCATTATGTACACTCAAACGTCATTATAACAGACTTCATCTAATAATAAAATAAGCTAGTTACATATGAAAGTTCGTTGTAAAGGTTACTTTAAACACTATATCTATTGCAAGACTATTTTTCGTTTACTTTATTACAACCAATATTTTGTTATATCCGTGTTTGTTATATTGAGGTTTGCATGTAGGTGCACATTAGACACACTGTATCTTGAAGGAAAGCATAGTCACCAGAAAACTCCATAGCCATATAGAGAGGTGCAAGAGCAAGTGTCGGCACATTGTCTGTGCCTTCGTTTACGCACTCTCTTTGTCACTGCACATACTGCATGACTTGCCAACAAGCTTTGCTTTGTTTCTGTTACGTTGCTGACGTGGCACAGGATTGCACAGTGCATGCGACCTGTTCGGTCTGACATGATCGCCAGGTCGTCTGAGCACCTCCGGTTAATGTTACGTATATCAACACAGCTTGCCTGCCTTTACTTTGGTAACCAACCAACTTTTACCACTATTCTTACTAAATCACAATTGCGGGTTTTCACTGGAAATGCGCATGAGAAAGATAAAGTTTATTGTTCTAATAACCTTTTCAATGTGTCGCATCATACCACATGCACTGTACCTGAGACAATACTTTAAACGACAAATGTTTTCAACTCTGGTGAATTTTACGCGTGTCGCACAGGTCACTGCATTTGTTGTGATTTGAGGATATCTAAGGAAAGGTGGGGGGGACAGCAAAAGATGATGGCATCACAAGGGAGCATTGGGCTGTGCTAATAGCGTGGTATTCATGGTTAGCTAGATTTCAAGGTAAGTCTTTAGGAGTGAATACTTTGCCAACGCCTTTTGCCATATTTGCGTGCCACTAATTCTGGGGCTTGCAGTACAAAAGATTGCAGGGTTTCGTGCGACCATTTGCAAAAACAACTTCATTGTTTTTTAAAAGAGATTGCCACTCAGCTTTCGGACTGTGCCTTTCTTGGACTAGAACATGCATACATTGTGAAAGTTCGATATAATACAAGCTTGTGGATTCAAGTGCAACTTAAAAACTGCTGTAGAGTTGTTAATTTTCATTTACTTTCAATTAATTTCATTTTATGTTGGAATAACTACTGTACAGTAATAAGCAACTAATGTTTCCTATGTTTTCCTTCGCTTAATCTGCCTTTTTCACATTGCCACTGTACATGCAACCTTACCTTAGCAGTGAAGTGGTAAAACACCTCGAATCTTTGAGGCTTTCATTGCGGCGATTCTAGTTGTATCCGCCCCTACCGAAATCCTCCTAAATTGCCAGAGAAAAGGCAGTATAAGAAAATTAAAAAGACGAATTGTCTTTGTATTTCATTGGATCTGTCTAATAGTAGAAAAGCGAGTGCCTTGGGTCTGTCTAATGGAAAAAGAAAAACGATTAGAACCTTTACCATGATGACTGGTTTAATTAAGCAGTTGCTCGAGACAGCTACATCATGTTGCTGTGAGTCTGGCCACTAAAGGCAACGTTGACTGCGATGTAAGTGTTCAAATTGAGATTGCGCTGGTACGATGCAAGCTGACGATAATCATAATGGTAGCATGGGCATTGCTTAGTCCTAAATTTTGAATCCACGAGCCCTGGTCAACTCTCGTAGCCTTGCAATTTGGCCTTTGTGCATGGACCTTTGCGATATAATCACATGCAATGCATTTTTCCTGTCATTGTTGTGCCCTGTGTGATGCACACTCATGAGATGTTCAGGAACAACATCTGTCTTGGATTTTTTGTAGGCAGAGAACTCGTGTTCGCTTTGATATGTCAGTGTACGACACATTCATTGCCGTTGTGAATTCACTTTGAGACGCATGTATAAGCGCAATTACAGGCAGCTTTTCGCAGCCAACTGACCTGTCTATGTTGCTTCTAAAGGCTGAAATCAGCACGAGTCTTCCTTTATTCTCAGAGCGCATAGGTATCACCGTGGTATCACTGCATAGGTATCACATAAGACTAGGCGTCACGGGGATACTTGGTGGGATACTTTCTCTAACTATTTCATTGCGTTTGTCCATACTCTTGGAATATTTTTCTTTTCCGTTTTATTTCGTTGACAAGAGTGAATAACTTTTGGCCTTGTTTGGATGTGTGAATGTGTGTCTGAGTTGTGCGATTGGAGCAAATGCTAAACAGTGCTGTTGTAGCAATTTAACAGTACTTATTGACTGGCTTGCTATAATATTTGGGGGTCACGTGTTAAATGACAACTTCATGCTGTGCTATGCGTTGGTAGCATTTCCAAGCTCTACTACGGAGCATCTCTGTGACATTGACCTACTTATTAAGATGTGAGAACTTGCTAAGAAATTATGCATTTACTCTCAAACTGAGGTATAATGAAATATTGTTGACAGTGAAAAGAACGAAAAATAGTCTTGGAACAGATAAAGTGTTAGCAATGTAATTTTGTAACAAGTTTTTGGGTATAACGAACTTATTTTTTGCAAGAAGTGACTTTGTTATAGTAAGGTTCGAGTGCAGTACAGAAACGGCTAACACATGTTGTATGCATTCTTTGCACCTGCGTGCATTTCATACTATTCCTAACTGTGCAACACCTTTTAAAAGGCTTCCTGCGACAGGCGAGCTTTGAGCTTTCCTAATACTAAGTGTACGTCTCTTTTTTTGCATAGTTCAAGAAGTAAATATGGCTCTTTCCTTTTTTCTTCCTATGCAACTTGACCGGTCATTGACTGTTCTTTTTGATGGCCGTGTTCTGGTGTGTCTGTACATTAAGCAGAGCTTGCTGTCTGTGGTGAATGTGCGTGTGTGCTCAGTGTGAATGATCGCTGGTGATGTTCTCAGGAGATCCAACTGTGACATTGCAATAAAGAATGTTACTTAGCATGAAATAAGTTGACCCGTCGCTGCTACTGTTATAAATAGGTCGCCAGCTTTATTGCTGCATCGAATGTTGCCTGCATTCTTATAGCGTCGTTACAGTCATAATCAAGTTCATAATGCCAAACTGTGCAGTGCTGCTTGTGAATTGTGCATAAGCAGAAGCAATTATGCCAGGTGCACAGTTTATAAGCAGTGTCGCATCCTGAAAATGAAAGTGCCTACAATTCAGTGCAATTACTATGGATATTGCATTCAATCAGTTGCCTGTGAAAGCATTTCCTTTTTTTCTAGAGATGTTAAGTTGTTTAGGGGGTTATCTTTTTTATGGCTTTGAAGCTTTGTGCCTTGGCAACTGCAGTCACTTCTAAGCTTTGTTAACTACAACGTTTCTTGCATTCTGATACTGTGCTTTGTCTTCCATTCGAGTTTTTGTGTGACATTGTGAACCTTCTGAATGTGTGCGTGTGTGAAGGAGTGCCTGGAAGTAATGTGAATTAATTTTTGTCACTCCTAAAAGAAAAAAAAAACAAGAATATAACAGCGGGCGTTGAGCTACCCTGAAATTTTCACTTTTGTTTCTCTTTGACATCTGTCAGCAATGTGTGATTGTGTCGTGTGAATGTTCCGGATGCCAGGACTTGAAATGTATGAACTGCAATAAAAAAGAAATGGAGACAATACCTTCATCTTTGTTTTTGTCTTTTGTCTTAGAGGTGCTTTGTACTCTACCACATTTACTCTAACAAATTGAGTAGAATGCGTGCAAAGCGTCTTATGGTGTCAGTTTCATTATGGTGTCAGTTTCACAAGCGGTATGAAATGTTAGCGATTTCTCGTTGCACCACGGATGACGAGATGAGGACGAGACAGGGGTAGAGGACACGTAGTGCACAATCGCTCCACCTAACGTGTAAAATGTTAATCTCCAGAAAACCATATTTTTCAGTTTGTTGGTATACGGAAAAATCCTGCAACAATTCTTGCCATTTGGATTAGTTTGCAGTCTTCTTTTCTTTTTTGGCGAGCCTTGTATCATGACATCAGCAATTTGTTTTTTGCAAGTCATGGTGTCATAACTGAGAAAGCTGTTCTTGAAGCGCCATGCAAGTAATTACTTTATCGCGAGACCACCAATGAATGAGTCGGCAAAATTAAAATGTACCGTTAGTATGTAACGTCCACAGGAAACCAAGGAAATACTATGAGAGTTTGCGTAATGTATAAATATAGGCTTGACATACAGAATTAAGGTAAATTAAAGCAAGGAACAGTGACCTGCCACTAGTGGGAGTCAAACCCACAACCTCTGCAGTTCATGTTCTATGTTTTAGCCATATGAGCTGTGGTGGTAACTGTTTCGTTGTCTACTTTATAGGGTATACTTATAACACATACTCAAACACGAATTGTTGCACTGTAAATGTTAGGCAATACCACCCGCAATGATGATGTGCAAAAAATGCTTTCAACAGCAGGCATGCAACACTTGAGATAACATCCTTCGTAGTGCAGCAGTGGTGGATACGATACATGTCCTAACAGGCATGCTTTTCACAGCCACTTTTTAAATTCCTTTTGCTTAGTCATCTAAAGCTGCCAAATCGCTAAGAAGCCTTGCCATGCTAGCACGTCAAAGACCTCATCACAGTTTGCCTCCGCTGCAGTCTCCTCAACAGTAAGACTGTCTCAACAAATAAAAAAACTCCTTCAACAGCTTGGTGCAGCTGTACTGAAAAAAATTAACGATGTAAAACTGGTAAAACAAGGTGTCAAAATAATGCGATAGCTCTTTGAGCATAGATGTGTTCTCCTCTTCCTTTCGGAACAATTTCGGCGATGCATGCTCTATCACTGTCGTTTTTTTCATATTGCCTTCTTTCCCATACCTTAGGTCTTTTTTTTAATTTCTGCTTATGTACACATTTGCAAGAACCACATGAAGAAGCTCGTATCAATGGGTCTTTAATAGTTCGCTTTTACTGCAAGACTCTACAGCTCAATTCAATTATGTGTCAGTGGGTGACATCCTGGGGAAGTGTTTTCAGTGCTGCTGACAGTGAGCGATTTTATCTGCCCACTGAAATCAAGTAAGACGTGCACGTGGCATTGCATGTAAGGGCCTTGCAACACAGTTCCAAGTTTTTTTTTTTTTAAAGACCGCATTGCTGGACTCTGTTGCCGCCTGAATCTCCTGCTGTAAAAATGAACCCTTTTAGAAGTTACCCGTGAAGAGCTGTCTGTAGATTCATCTAACAAGCACAGTATTATTTGAAGGCACTCGGTAGTCCATCTTGCTTAGGGTAATATCACTATGCATTAATTTATGCAGGTTATGGTAATTAATTCCAATTAAACTATAATTATCTATTCATCATGAAGTCATTCATGCTCCGTTTCGCATAAACAGAATCGAGTATCGGGCTAGAAAGACTGTGCGAATTTGTCTTTTGCTACGTTCATTTTGAGAGGATAAAAATCATACTTTTTTGTGTGTGTGTGGCTTGCAGAAAAGGGCACGTCAAACTACTCGTCAGGCATGGTAGTTCCTTCAGCGAAGTGACCACGTTCAAAGTGCATATTTTTTTCGAAAACGGTGTTGCAGGAACCACTTGCATAATATTATGCAAAGTTCACTTTCTTCTATTCTTTTACAGATCTTGGTTCAATTAGCACTTCATGATTTCACTTTCAATCTTTTAAAAATTTTATCCCTGCCCCCTGCTTTCTTTTCAGTCATTAGTATTATTAGAGCTGATTGCTCATTTTATCCTTCTAATGATAAAATCAGTCTGTTATTTTCCTACGGCTGCCTTTCTTGGCAAGACAGTCACTGCATTTTTACACTCCAACCGTGCTTTTGCCTGAATGCACCAGTCCGTAGTTTCTGTTATTTTATACATGTTCTTATATACCTCTGTTTTTTTATAACTTTAAGCTGTATGTTCTTACAAAAGTGGCGCTTCTAAATTTGCACGGCTGCTGTGGTGTTTGCCTACATATGATGCTGTTGGGATAAGCGAACGCTTGCAAATATGAACCCTTGATTGTAATGTCCTCGTTATTTGACTTGTTCACGAGTTTGCTACTTATTTTTTGTTTAAATGCGAGGTTACAGCAGTGCTTAATGTGGTTTTGGGGAAGAACGATTGCCAAACAGGGAAACGCTTCAATGATCTGCCGAGAGGAAAGCACAGGCCTGTCATTGAACGAATGGGGTAGCTAAGCCCTATGCAGTCAACTTCTAATAATTCATTCAACGAGAGCCCTTTGCCCTTGGACAGTTCTTGAATTTATCGTCTCTGTGAACAAAACCAGCTTTTTCAAGAAAATCTTTCAATTCTTGAGTACTCTGGTGGGAGCTATCTCAAGTGATGTGCAGCACTCCAGCATTGTGCTTGACATATCCAGCAGATGCAAGTATTTCATAAGCATTCTGAGACATGGTCTTGTTCTGATTGTTTTTTAATAGGCCCCAAAGTAAATGAAAAAGATGTTTGTGCTGTATGGAAAATCCCCAGTTAACAGGATATCCAATTTGAATGGCTTTGCATGCACATGTTCTAATGTAAATGTAAATACAAACACTTTGTTTTGGCCAGATTTCAATTCAATTTATCGTGCACGTTTATAAATTGAAAAAAGTATGTATTGCATGGCTTTTAATTTTTTTGCCTTTTACTGTAGAGTAGAATTTTATTATAATGGAACCTGCAGAGACCAGGAAAATATGTACTATTTATCATCGGTTTCATTCGCTATAAACTACGAGGAACAGGGGTACCGAATTCAAGTACAGTCATGTTAGTAGCAGCAGTTTTATTTAGGCAACAAATCCGTTTAAGATGTCTCCATTTACCGAGAGTCTACCATAATTGTATTCGGTTCGGCTTAGGAATATCACTTTTTGAACACCCCCTGGAAAGAAGATATCGGATTGGTGGCTACTGCCCTCGGCGACGTAGGCTTCGAATATCATGCGTTCTTTTCTTCCTCGTTTGACATCTCCCCTCCCGTGTTTCCCTTTCAGAAACTCATGAGGGCGTTCAGGACATGGCGTGCGACACATTCATCAAGATAGCGCAGAAGTGCCGGCGCCACTTTGTCCAGGTGCAGGTGGGCGAGGCAGTGCCCTTCATCGAGGAGATCCTGGCCAACATGAGCTCCATCATCTACGACCTGCAGCCGCAGCAGGTGCACACCTTCTGTGAGGCCGTCGGGTACATGATTTCGGCGCAGGCCGACCAGGCCCAGCAGGAACGCCTCGTTGACCGGTACATGCTGCTTCCCAACCAGGTCTGGGACGATATCATCAAGCAGGCCAGCAAGGTGCGTGCAGCTCCCATTACTCTGCATCAAAGTTGCCAGATGCCATGGAGATAGAAATGCTTTTAAAAAAAGGTGAAAAAAAAAATGTTGAAAGGAAACGTAGAAGCTTTTTCATTTTTGTAAACATTTCTTAGTTTTAATGAAAAGATTGCTTAAGTATGAATTGAACGTTAGAAAAATACCTCTCATAAATTGTTCGGTGAAAGTAAGTGCAGCTATGAATGAAAGCCCAAGTAGAAGACTCATGGTGAACAGAAAATATGTGTCATTTAACAGCAGCCGCATCAACTGATGGACGGACAGGACTGCTGAATTCAGCTACAGAATCATTCGTATTGGAAGCACTTGTTCTGTTTACTGAATGTCTATTGGGTAGTGAGTGTTTGGATGTTACTGAAGTTATTTTCGTGTCAGATGTGGGTTTGTTATAATAAGGTTTCAGTGTAGTCCCAGGACAGAACAGCTGAGTTTCTGGAATTGCGAGGCAATGGCCCAAATTATATTACTAGTCATCGTGATGATCTCTTGAAGTCCCGTTACATTGAAGTAGCCGGCCAGGCTGCACTGAGTGACAATGCCTCGCCTCTGTGCAGAATGTCGACGTTCTGAAGGACCCCGACGCCGTACGGCAGCTAGGCAACATCCTGAAGACCAACGTGAGGGCCTGCAAGGCCTTGGGCCATCCAGTATGTAACGCAGCTGGGCCGCATCTACCTGGACATGCTGAATGTCTACAAGGTGATGAGTGAGAACATCAGCGCGGCAGTGGCCCTGAACGGCGAGGGGGTCACGAAGCAGCCGCTCATTCGATCGATGCGCACTGTCAAGAAGGAGACCCTGAAGCTCATCGCCGGATGGGTGTCTCGCACCACAGACCCTAAGATGGTGCTCGAGAACTTCATCCCCCCGTTGCTGGATGCAGTGCTGTTGGACTACCAGCGGTGCACGGTGCCCGCAGCGCGGGAACCTGAGGTGCTCTCTGCGATGTCGATGATCGTCCACCGGTTAGAGGTGAGCAACGGCTTCTGTGTGGTAGTTGTTTGATTTCTGATACTTCAGTGGATTTCTTAAATATTGTGGTGCATAGCGAACCTTTTACAGGAAAGTGATAATACAGAGTGCTTGTGTTTCTATTTCTGGTATCCCTGTTACGAAAAAAAACAAAAACAGTACAATCTTTTATGGATTTATGCCAACAAGTTAAGTTGCCTCTTATGATATCATATTTGAGGCCCAGCGATATGTTCTAATCCTAGACAAGCACCTTTCTTTTGTGAGGTAGCACTCCCGAAAACTTTGTTGAAGCAGATATAGGGTCAAAAAATTTTGTTGTTGTGATGCGACATATTTTGCATCATTTTGTATGGACAGCTGATGAGGAATTGGGAAGTTTTCATTGTAGAGGTGTTTGTTAAAAGTAGAATTCATCTGTACTTAATAATCAGGAAAGCAAACTACTAGGGTTACACATTTTGATTTCATCAAAGGTTTTAAGTAACCATATAGATTCTCTTTCATTCGAGGCTTATATCATGGAACAAAATCCAAAGTCAATTGCATGCAAGCGAGCACCTTGTTGTTTGTTTTTGAGACCCAATTTACCAGGTAACTAGCATTGCCTATCCACCACATTTTCTCACATATAACCGTTACAAAGAATACTGTAAATTCAGAGCTCGAGAGGTTTCGGTGTGTAAGGTGACTTCTATCCACCACATTTTCTCACATATAACCGTTACAAAGAATACTGTAAATTCAGAGCTCGAGAGGTTTCGGTGTGTAAGGTGACTTCATGGCACCGCTTTGCCACAGCGAAAGGAAGGTGGTCTCACATTAAAACATGGGGATTTTTCTTGAAAGATTTTGTGGGGTTGATTTGCAGGGGAGCGCTATACACTAGGTAATGCAATACTTGTAACCAAGGTTCTCAAACTTGTGTTATTTTTGCAGGGCTTCATCACATGTGAGATTCCAAAGATCTTCGACGCAGTGTTCGAGTGCACATTGAGTATGATCAACAAGGTAAGTTCACAGTTTAACACCACTACAATTCGATGCCCATTCCATTGGCTTGACTGTTGTGACATCCCGAACGCTCATTGTGTGTCCTCGGGGCCTGGCGTAAACATGCCCAGCAAACTGGCTCAATTAATAAAGTTCTTGTACAAGACTACTTTTTCGTGTTCGGGCCAATTTTGTGTAGCAACATGTGGACGCCCATTGTGTGAATGCTTGATTGACATGCCCGTGCCTGTTTGCAGGATTTTGAAGAATTTCCAGAGCACAGGACAAACTTTTTCCTACTCCTCCAAGCTGTAGTTACTCACTGCTTCCCTGGTAAGTGCATGTTTTTTACAGAAAAAAAGTTTCGCATATGTGCGGCTGTCGGCAAGCTTTTTAACACGAACGCTCCGATGTGTGACCTAGACTGGACTAACACTTGAGCTTGCGGCTGACCTCAGTTATTAGAAAGTTCTTGATTAACATGGTTCTAATTATTGGTATTCATATCACAAGCTGAATTAGCCATGTCCTAATTAGTCTTATATCTCACACTCTGTTTGTTTTTCTTCCATTTATGTGTTGCACACTATTTGTTTTCTTGGAAGGTGCCTGCATTGAAGAAACACTTAGAGTGCACATCCATTGTGTCAACCCCAATGCATGTGTGGGCCATATGCCTTAGTATAAACCAAAACAAGGCGATACAGCACAATGTACAGCACTCGAACCTTATTGCAACGAGCCCAGATATAGCGAAACGTTGGTTATGACAAAGTAAATGAAAAGTAGTCTTGCAGTAGACGTAGTGTTAGCAATACAGTAAAAGCTCGTTAATTCGACACCCATTAATTCGGATAATTCGGACGGCCTTATTGGTCCCGGCCAAAGTGCATGTTAATCTATGGGACCAAACCTTCGTTATTTCGTCGAAATTCGGCTCCACACCGCTTAATTCAGACAAATGCTGATGGCTGCTGCTACACAAAAGTGTGATAAAGCAGCGCTGGCACCACTGGAGTGAAACCGAAACCTGAGTGGCATTGCCATCATCGTCAACTAGTGGGGGCGATCGCAGCGTCACCGAACATCGGTGTCTTCTTTCTTCTCCACTCAGCGCCTCCGATGCCATTTTCCCTTGTGTTGTCAGTGTCGGAACCATCTCTTCTTGCGGAGTTTTCTTTTTCTTCCATTGTGACTGTATTTGCATGCCACCACCATCATGCGCTACAGTGATGGCAACGCCGAAAAAGCGGCAGAACTACGACGCGAAGAAATTGGCGAATAAAGTGGAAATTTTGGAAGCACTGAAGAACGGCGAATCGCGACAGCAGGTTATGACCAAGTACAACGTGAAGCGGAGCACGTTGAGAACGTACGGGAAAAATGAACAACAGATTCGACAAGCCTTCGAAAGTGCGAAGTTTCATGCCTCTAGAAAGCGGTTGCGCACCGCAGCTCATCCCCAGCTCGAAGAAGCTTTGCTCCGGTGGATTACTGACTGTCGCAACGCGCATCTGCCTTTGAGCGGACCTCTCATCATGGCGCAAGGTGAGAAGTACGCTGGAATGATGAACATTGAATCGTTCAAAGCGTCAGAAGGGTGGTTTGCGAGGTTTCGAGAGAGACACGAACTTGTCTTCAGGAGTGTGTGCGGCGAAAAGGCCAGTGTTGACGAAAGCGTGACCACCGAGTGGAGAAATGTGAAGCTGCTGGAGCACATTGCCGCATATGCACCACGTGACGTGTTCATTGCAGATGAAACTGCTCTGTTTTTCAGAGCTCTGCCCGACAAGACGGTGACTTTCAAAGGGGACGCGTGCATTGGTGGCAAGAAGTGCAAGCAAAGGATAACTGTGCTTCTTGCTGCCGATATGACTGGCACGGAGCGCTTGCCACTACTTGTCGTCGGGAAAGCGCTTAAGCCACGTTGTTTTAAGAACGTCACAAGCCTTCCTGTCGAGTACACAGCGAACAGGAAGACATGGATGACATCAGACATTTTTCGCGGCTGGCTGCAGCAGCTGGACCGACACTTCACGTCGAACGACCGCAAGATAATTATGGTTGTTGACAACTGCAGTGCCCATAACTGTACAGTCGAACTGAAGAGCATCAAAGTAGTTTTTTTGCCGCCCAACACTACGTCTGCTCTTCAGCCGATGGACCAGGGTATCATTCACTCCGTGAAGTCGAAGTACCGCAAGCACCTGCTAGAGCGAATGATCCTATGCTCAGAAGCTGGAAAGTTGTATCAAGTGGACTTACTCGGCGCAGTGCACATCATCGCCCACGTGTGGAAAAACACTCTGCCGCAAGTCATCGCCAACTGTTTTCGGCACAGCGGTTTTGTGAGGCCCGAGCATGCAGCAGTAGCTGACGATGGCATCGAGGAGGTGTCAGCCGAATCCACCGACGATGACTGCCCAACTTTCGATGCGGTCCTTCCCACAGATGTGACCTTTCAGGACTACATCGCGATTGATCATGGTGTCGCCACGAGTGGTCTCCTGACCGATCAAGAGATTATTAATGATGTCACAGGGTGCCCATGAAGACCACGGTTCCGACGAAGAATCATGCGAGGAGATACAGCCGCGACTTCATCGCACCTAACGGGAAGCTTCGGAGGCGCTGTTAATATTAGAGGACGCTTGCCTGAACACTCCCGACAGCTTGCGTGCTGTTGGCCACTTGGAACAGTTCAGAAAAAATTGTGATGTCAGCCGGAATCTGTGCGAAAACGCAGACAATTGTAAAATACTTCAACAAGTAAAGGTATGCTTCTGCAGCTTGATTTCAAATGTTGTTTTCCCTGTTCATTCGTTAATTTGACATTCGGTTAATTCGGACAGTTTTTCAGGTCCCTTGAAATCTGAATTAACGAGCTTTTACTGTATACCTTAATAATGAATTTTCAGACACGTCTTAATTTCCTGTTAGGTACAATTTTGTTATAATGAGGTTTGAGTGATAACTATCCTGATACCTTGAGTGTATGTTGCTAAAAGCAAGCAGTCTAATTATAACTAATTTTAAGATGAAGAATTGGAAGAAGAAGGCACATGCCGGCCAAGTTATTGCATCACATGCGCTAGGTGCAGCTATAGAGGGTGTTCACGATGACGATTGTTTCTGGTCACCCATTCGGTCGTCCCTCTGTCTCGTAAAATGAATCCCTATATATAAATCAAGCAAATGAACAAAACAAAATAAGTCTTCTTGGTTGTTATGGCTTTTGAACCCAAACCCAGCCCCACCGCAGTGGTCTAGTGGCTAAGGTACTCGGCTGCTGACCCGCAGGTCGCTGGATCGAATCTCAGCTGCGGCGGCTGCATTTTGGATAGAGGCAGAAATGCGGTAGGCCCGAGTGCTCAGATTTGAATGCACGTAAAAGAACCCCAGGTGGTCGAAATTTCCGGAGCCCTCCACTACGACGTCTTTCTTAATCATATGGTGGTCTTGGGACGTTAAACCCCACATATCAGTCATCGAACCCAAACCCAATAGGTTTTGAATGAAGTGTTTCAGTCACCGTGCTAAGCAAATATGCTTGCAAAATGTGAATATACTTCTTGTTCTGCACCACACCCGTGGCAACGAAAGTCTGCGGTGCCCTACTGCTGATCCCCAGGTCGCAGGATCGAATCTCAGCTGTGGTGACTGCTATTTCGAAGGACGGGAAAATGCTTGAGGCCTGTGTGCTTAGAAATAGGTGCGAGAACCCCTGGTGGCCATGATTTCCGGAGCCCTCCACCAAGACACCTCTGATGATCATATCTTAGTTTCGAGGCGTTAAAAACCTGAAAAATTATTAGTTATATTGTCTTGCACCCCATGTACTCATGATTCATAAGGAACATTCAACTTTTTGACTATTTAAAGCCACTGTCATGTTTATAGTCAAATGATACGCCTTCCTTTCGGCCACGCTGCAAAGATTGAAAAATGCCACGTCAATACCAGCTGGAAAGAATGTTGTACAGGGAAAGTCACAACCTAGAGTAAAACACTTTTCTCTCATCACTTAAACAGTCGCCAAAAGAGGTTTTGTGTGGATCTTTCACCTTGCTCAGCTGGCTTGTCGATTTCCTGACTTTGCTTTCTGTTTCTTTCAGCACTTCTGAACATACCCCCAGCACAATTCAAACTCGTCTTAGACTCAATCATCTGGGCTTTCAAGCATACCATGAGGAATGTGGCCGACGTTGGTAAGCATGTGCCAGGCTTGGCAGCAATATAGTTACAGCAATTAAATTACTCTTTGCTGCTATGAGTAACGTGATCAATTACTTTTGTAGGCTGGTCGTTTGATGATGGAACAAGTTGCTTGAAGTGAGTGATTAAGGAAAAATGACAGAATGTTTCATCTCCACTCCCTTTATGGTTTAAAAATTGACAAATTGGGGAATAGAAAATAGCCAAGCTAATTAGAGGCCCAACTTCAATCTCTGAGATTTAAATTTGCTCGGTCTCATAGATTCAAGTTTTGGACACACCGGATTTGCGAGGCATTTGAGAGTTTTTTTTTTTATTTTAACTTTCACATCCATGTAACAAAAAACTTCGCAAACACTTGTTTGGTCCCATAGCCTAACTGGCTAGTAGAGGGACCAATTGTGTGACATACCTACATACTTGCGCAAGCGGTTACACAGCGACAAAGGACATCAACCTGGATACAATGTTTAAAACAGAAAAAAGCAAAAAACATGATTGAACTATACAAAGAAAGTGCACTAACCAGTTGAATTGTTGAATCGTATTACATACCACTGTACATGCTTGTATAATTGTAGTCTTCTATTTTTTATTGTATGATATTGCCAGTTGAAGTTTGTATTTGCCCTATAGACATTGTATAACCTGTATATATTATATGACATTGTACTTGCCATTTGTTCATGACTAACTTCATGTACCACCCTGCTAAAATCACCAAAGGTGATTGCAGTATCTGTAAATAAATAAATAATAATAAATAAAGAAACATAGCGCAGAACATAGCTACTTATAGCACAGAATAATAATAGCACTAGAGTAATACTAATACTAATAATAATAATAATAATAAAAATACTAAATGACTATGCAGACGTATTATTTAGAAAGTTTGCATGAAGTGCATGCTTCATGGCCAATGAAAAATTTCTAGCCTCTTTCACATCAGTCAGTATCGCATTCCATATGAGAGCGCCGTGAAATTCTATGAGCCTTCGACCGTAGGCATTTCTGGCTACTGGTAAATTAAAACAGTGATTCACTGCAGCTCTTGTACAGCGCGCGGGTAACGTAAAGGTGCTTAATGGGAATGGGTCATCACGTTTTATTATCCCATGCACTATATCAGCAACACTAGACACAGTGAACAGAGTCCAGTGGAAGTACACGCATCATTTGAAACAGTGGTTTTGCAGTATCCAGTTGCCTTGATTATTGGTGGCGGTGGGGATTCGGTCCATTCTGATGTTCGCCTGGCGGTTTGTGCAGGTCTGCAAATACTGTACCAGCTTCTCCAAAACATAGGCCAAGAAGACGTGGCGTCGCAAAGCTTCTACCAGACGTACTACACCGACATCATGCAGCACCTCTTCTCCGTGGTCACGGACACATCTCATACGGCCGGTACGTACGTTCGCTTTTCAGGGGACTCTCCTGCGGTGAGAGCGTTTTAGTTAGAGCGGGTAAATCTTTTTTCCAAGTGCAGGTGATATGTCTATGGCAGGCCGTCACCAAAGTTTCAGTTTCATTTGCCCTTGTTTGATAATCAATAGGCTGTCTGAATCAGGTTCGTTACCGATACATCTGGTAACATACTTCATCGATTGCAGCAGTTTGCCCTGTGTACGTGCTGTTTTACGGCAGTGTCGCCTGTCCTGAATCAGCTGGATGGCACATCTTGAATTGCTATTTTGTAGTGCTGCTTGACTAGGCAAAATTCTCTGACGGTGAGCAAAAGGTCTTGCAAGGGACCCCTGACCGACCTCCCTGTTTTTTGTCGTGCACAGTTATTACTAAATGTGGAAGTCCGTGCAATCATGACAGTAAGACGAACAAGGACACTATGTGGGACAGTTGATTTCTCTTGTTTATCTACCAGTTCTCTGCAAGAAATTGGCGGTGCAGCCACGAATTCAGTTCAGCCACTGCTTTATGGCGTTGTTGTTTTCTCTTAGCGTGTTCTCAAGCCGAAGCCATGCTCACCCTTCCTCTGTTGCAGGCCTGTCGATGCAGGCATCCATCCTGGCCTACATGTTCAGCATAGTGGAGGCGAACAAGGTCACGGTGCCCCTCAACCCAACAATGCAAGCCAACGGCATCACCAACGTGGTCTATGTGCAGGACTTTGTGGCAAACCTGTTGAAGACTGCGTTCAGCCACCTCTCTGAGTGAGTCGCCCTTTTTATTATCAGTCTGTTGAACAAGTGCGTTTCTTTAGTACAGTGCACAAAAATACACAAGTTAGACCCATAGCTATAGCCTAGTGGGGGTGTATAATAAAATATGCTAAAACCTTGATATAATGAACCCAAGTTTAACAAAATATCGATTATAAGGAAGTAAGTGAAAAATAGTCTTTCTATATGCAGTGTTAGAAATATACCTTTATAACGAATTTCCAGATATAACAAACTTCTTTTTTTATGGGGGGTAACTTCTTTATAATGATGTTTGAGTGTATGTAATTACATGAACGCATTTAGAAAACAAACATTACATAAGAGGTCCCTCCTAATGTGTGAAAAGAAGCTGTGAATTTGTGTGAAGTAAGGGTGAAAAGGAATGTGTTCATGATATAATACCATTACCACGTTGTTAAGCATTGTTACATACATGTGAACTGCGTCTACACTACAACAGAAACATAAACGCAGATCCTTGTATACTCGCATGTGTTACAGGAAAAGTGGCTTATATGTTAAAGAACAAAAAGAAAGAAAACCTGGCTGTAGCTGATGTTTGATGCTATTTTTTTCTTACTGCAGCGCACAAGTGAAGATCACTGTTCAGGGTTTCTTCAACCTTAATCAGGACATTCAGGCTTTCAAGGAACACCTGAGGGACTTCCTCGTCCAAATAAGGGTGAGTCTGTGCAGAGAATTGAACACTAGGTCATTTCTCTGCTGCTTTGTGGGTACTTGGGGTTAACACCTGTGCTACGTAAGCACAAGAAATTGCATTTAGAAGTTGAGGGGCAAGTTTTTATAGAAAGTGAAAGCCAATTTTTGTGTTGCATGTTTTCCTTTGCAACAAGGAAATCTTGTCAGTCAGCGTGTCTGATCACGAAATGGTAACAAAGAAAATGGCACTGAAGATATTTGTCACAGTTGTTATATCCCTAGCACCGATGAAGTGATACACACAACACATGTTGCAAACAGTGGTAGGCAAATGCGATGACGATTATGAGCTGGCAAACAAGTAGGGTTATGTCTTCATGAAGCCCGTGTTATTGTAGATCATTGTCTGCACACTACACTTAGCCATGTGCGCATGCTCTTGCGCTCGCTGTCATAACGGAAGCAGAGGGTAACCGTTCGGCGTCGCCTTACGCAGGAGTACACCGGCGAGGACGACAGTGACCTGTTCCTCGAAGAGCGGGAAGCGGCGCTGCGGCAGGCGGAGGAAGAGAAGCGCAAGATCCGCATGCTCGTCCCTGGAATCCTCAACCCACACGAGATTCCCGAGGAGATGCAGGACTGAGCCGCCCCTGTATTTATGTAGAGCTCTTGGCCTTTTTCCTTCTTTCCCCCCCTCTTCTACACACCGTCCTTTCCTCGGCTCACAAGTTCCTGTTTCTGCTTGCCCTCTCTTCTTTATTACCCCACGCGTCGTCCTCTGGAGAGACAGCAACTCCTTGTTCCTCTTCATCCTCCCATGTCTTCCTACTTTTTTGCCACAAAAGCTCGTCGCACCCGCCGCACATCATTGTTTCACCTTTCTTCTTTTTCTTCCCTTTGCACGCGCACTTTTCTGGTGCAGTACTCACGTTGAGACTATCGATGGTTTTACTAGGCACTTTTTGCTTCCTAAATTATGCGTGCCCCCCCCCCCCCCCCTCTTTCTGTGTCGGGCACCATGCGTCTTTCCTCCCCATCATACCACTTCTGCAGGCACTCACACAGGCAAACGAAGGCACGGCGTACGATCTGCTGTGTGCTGTGCATATGCCACACACCGTTGTCGCTGCTGCAAAGTGTCGCCGACAGAACGCACCACGAACTTGCGAGCAAGCCGACATCTCTGATCCAGCAGTTGCACTGCTGTTTTCGTAAACCCACGGGCTGGCCGCAGCTGATTGCACTTGCCCGCACAGAACTCTTAACGGGGACGACCCTCTAGCTTCTCTCGGTACGTTCTGCCGGTACACAAGTGCGAGGCATCTTTTTTTTTTTTTTTTTTTTTTGAGCCCAGCTTTTTTAGAAGCTTGATGCAAAGAACAGCCGGAACATTGCGAATGTTTATAGAGTCGCGACTGCGGGACTCGGGGACAGTAGTAGCGGACAGATCTAGAGAATGTCGTCGTAGGAACAGAATGGGGGAGGAACGGCGGTCTATTGCCCCTTTGTGGTGGACGCTGCGAATGCACATTGCTGACTTTTTTAAAGTTCTGTTCTTTCTAATTGCCGGTTGTTCGGTCGCCGCATTCGTCCGGCGGAGAGGCCCGACTTCCACGCATGGCTGTGTGTGTGTGTGTGTGCGAGTGGTGGCGGTGCGTGGTTTGTGTGATTGGTGCCTGCACGGTCTCGGCGGCAAAGGCTTCCTGGATTCGTCGTCTTCAACGACACCATCGACTGCACCTCGCAAGCCAACGAAGTGTGCCACCACGTCTGCTTGGGAGGAATAGGACAAAGAGGAGCGCATTGTCGGCGTTGAAGCGAGGCGTGATACACAAGTCTGAAGTTTGCGTCTTGGTACTTTTTTCTTGCCTGTCTTTTTTTTTTTTACGGGTACCAGCAACGACACCTATGAAACGTTGTTGGTACTGACATGCATTTTTACAATATTGCCCTTGTGGGGCAGCGTTCTACTGTATGCTGACGTCTTTTTTCATTGTTTCCCCTCCTTTCGTCTTGAATGTGCTAGATATTTCCAAGCTATTTCGCTGTGCTTTGTGCATATCCCCTTTCCCTTCCCCACGTGTCGGGCATTTCAGAAGGTTTGTCGCGTGTCTCTGTTTTCTTGAGTTTTCTCCGTGTCTTCTGTTTGTGCAGGTTTCACCTATTTATTTTGGAACAACTCTTCGTTTAACTCTGTCGTTAGAGTCAGCTGAAGTCAGTCACACAGCTCTGATATCCTTATATATATATTTTTTCTTTTTGATCGCATATTTGTAAAAAGAAAAGTTTTCTTTGTCTCGCATTCTTCAAGCGCACTGCAGTTTGCGTCTGAAATTATTATTATTTTTTCGTTTTGGTTTTTGAAAGTTTCGAACAGCGACGCCTATGGTTGTGCTGCAGTTTTGTTTAGTTAAGACTTCAGTGTTTGCTCTGGTGGGAAGAACTCTGCGAAGATCGAGGGGAAACCTCACAAGACAAGGAGAAGGCTTCGCTTTTGTCGTCGGTACCCAGTTTTCCATTCGCTGGAAGATCGACAGCAAGGCGGCATCGTTGCGAAGAGATCGGGAGGTCTTCGGTCAATGTGGAAGACTCTTCGGCAGGCGCAGCTTCGACAAGATGGACTTGGACAAAGGCAACGGAGCGAGCATTTTTTTACACGTCCGTCACCCTTCATGCGAAGCGGATGAGAACAGAACGCCCGTGTGAATGTGTGTGTGGAGAGGCGGCATTGGGCGGATTTTTTTGCACATGCCAGTGTGTGTGAGCGTGTGCGTGCTTCACATTTTTTTTCTTCCCATTTTTTTTTCTTTCCTTCCAGCGACGATGGAACCTGTTTCGAAAAAGAAAAAGCTAAATGGAGAAAATGAAAGAAAAAAAAAAGAACTGATGTGTGCGTGTTTCAAATCCTCGGAAGAAGCGTGGTTGGTTTTTTGTGCATTTGGTGTGCTTGATTGGACAGATATAAAACGATCATTTGTGAGATTAAAAGCACTTGGATGTATGTGTTCGAAGCAGTTTGTATCTGTTCCGTCGAAGGATGCATCTTTTTTTTTCTTGTTTTCATTTCGCTATTGTAGATGATTGGAGAGCTAAGATAAAAAGGAAACTGTTGTTTTCTGAAAGAATGAATAAATGAGCGTTTTTACATAGTTCTCACAGTGCGATGCCTGTTATTCATGTGCATGCCAAGAAGTCCGACATGAAGGTGTCAACATGATAAACTACTGCTTAGCGTTTTGTTGTCGCGAAGCTTTGAGCACATTTAACACTTTGTTGAACCTGCAAACCTTGCATTTGGTGCCCCCCAGCAATGGCTTCTTTACTGCCGAGGCAGCTTAACTCCTGTGAAGGTGACTGTCGCACAATAGTTTTGATCAACCGTTAACCTGACTGGACGAAAGTGAGAGGTGATGTGTTCATTAATATGAAGTCGGACGTGCAAGTTGAGCATTGTTGAGCAAATGCGTTGAAACGGGTCGGCACTTGAATTGCACGCTTGTTCAAGAAAAAGGAAATCAATGGCTATTTCAACTGTTCAATAAGCGGTCCTACCTCTAGTTAGCAAGACATTGTGTTGGATTTTTTTTTTATTTATAAATAGTGCAGGCCCTACTCTGGCTCAAGCAGCAGTGGGAGCATCATTAAACACAAACAATACTAACAATATTAATTTCAGCGGTCGTCAACTTAGTGGTGGAGTAAACGTAAACTACAATAAAAAATAAATATTAGTAAACATGCTTTGCAATCCCAAACACACATTATAACGGTGATAAAACATGCACATGCAACTCAACACATAAGGTAAATCGTACACAATACATAAAAAAAAGAACGTGGGAAGCATCTGCCAAAATAGCTGTTCAGCATAAACATAACTTTTTACTTGTCGAACGAAAGGTTATTTGCCTTGAGGCCTGTGGTTTTCTAACTGCAGTTATATTGTGGGGCATAGTTCCAAATGATGGAAATTGGTGGTTTTTACACTACTATTTTGCAAACTGAGCAGTGGATTTACATATTTATCAAGCAAATGAAGATGCATTGGTGTAATAGACACCTGTTCCATTGTATCTGTGATACTTTTGATAGTTCCGCATCCAAATAGTTCGTACATCTTTTCCAGTCCTGTATAATATGAATTAGTGAATTTTTACTGTACTAAAATTTTTGTTATAACCATATTTTCATATTTTGTATCTATGACAAGACTGTTCATTTGCTTCATTGTAACTAATAGTAATAGTTTGTTATATTAAGGTTTGTATATATTTATACAGAGTTTTCATTCGAATATGGTAGCTTTTCTCGACCACATTTAACTTGAACAAGACTTGCAAGACAAGACAATGCTACATTCAAGACAAGAACAAAAAGTTGCACATGTCACAGAGACATCTGAAATTGCATGATAAGTGTGGAAAATGAGTTATTTTCTCAAGTGATATTCAGTTTCGAAGCACCTCTATCAAACATGCACGCAGTGACGAGAGAATGCAGATATGTTTTGAAACAAATGTGGCTTAGCTTTGCTGTACGAGTAGCTGCGAGTGATGCAAATAGCTAGACGTACACCTGCTCCAAGTCTTTTTAAGTTTGCTCGTGCATCCCATAGGGAGTTCTGCGAGTGTTTATGAAACCTGAATTCAAGATGAATGTTTCTGATGGCATTTTAGATCGTAACTACTGTGAAAATTAGTTATTTTGTGTAAACCTTGCAAACGAAGTGTGTGCAGCTCCTTTTGGTCGCACGTACAGTCGGCAGGTGCCCACTGTTTTTAAGCAGAGGTTCAATTCATGCAGAGTTCTTATTCCCTGGTAAACACAACTAGCAAAAACAAGTAGTGTGTACAAGCATGTACAAATCCCCTCAAAGTGCTAAAACAAGGCATCGAAAAGCTGATGCCGTAGCCCTTCCAGGAGTTAGTGACATGACTGTGCCTCATAACTATAGGCAAGCCCGTACCAGGCAAAAGCAGGTCAGTGATACGGAGTTCAACTGGACAGTTATTTGTCCTAGGGTACGTCCACATGGCGCGAAGAACGAAGTCGCACTTAATTTCACCCTAGAGAAAAAAGTCACTGTATGGGAGTCATGCTTCCGACGCCATCCACGAGGATTGCTAGCATTGAGGTCACCATTTTGAAGGTTCACGCTCTTGTTGCACATGCAAGAAACTTGCTGCATGCATTGTGTCCATGATCCGTACAGTTACTTGAAGGACTAGAGACCTCTTGCCCACCGATGCAGAGACCACAAGTACGGACGAACTTTGAAATAGTATTGCCATTTGGTAGATCAAGGCTCTGTGCTAACCCGATTAAACAACAGTATGTTTTGAAATTCTAACATACATATTACAAAGCATGCACTGATGCAATCAATGACCACCATGCAAGTTTACCAGCGTGCTTAGAAATGCCAGCATCTCCTTAAAATTTTACAGCGTTTACGAAGCTTACAATGGCTGGCAAGCAATGGCAGGGCTAGCTTCAGGTGAATTGACGAATTCCGCTAGTTCCAAGTGACTTGTACATACTCAATTTAGCTGTGAAATTGTGCATTTCTATTAGTATTCACAAGCTGATGGTTAGTAGAGGTTTCTTTATTCAAGAAGTTGTATACATCCAGTGTACACATTGGTATATATGCGGAGTGGTTAAATGAACCCTGTGAAACGATATGCGATGCAGATAAGTCCCTCCAGTGATCCTTTGCAATGTGTAAAGTTCACAAACTGGACGCCTAGCAACGTTCACGCACCAAGTCCCTCCGTTAAGTAACAAGAGCGTTATCACAATCTTAAACAAGCTTTGTTCCGAGGATCAGCTACCAAGCTTGTTTGCTTCTTCAGTTACTGTGCTAGGTTCTTTAGACACTTCCACAGAGTCCACAGCTACTTCTTCGTTCACAGGCTCACGTTGTGCGTCAGCCATGTTGACCTCGACATTATTTTGTACCATTCTCGCGCAAACGATGGCGTTCTCCATGGCTCTTCTCCTCTTGTACGACATTTGGTTACGGATGAGTTTCTTTTGGTGCCTACAGCCTGCACATGGCCTATACGGTTCTATGTCCGCGAAGAGGATGCAGTCCTTGGAAAAGAACTTGCCGTTGAACGCCGGGCATGGGCGAGCTAACGGCTGTATACCCACGCCAGGACACAGGACAAGTTTGTCGATGCTGTCGATCAACTCTTCCGCAAGTTCGCGCGTGTTCAACTCTTGTTCGCACCAGATTTTGCCCCGCAAGTGCACTTCCGCCACAGCGGTGTCTTCGATACCTTGCAGAACTTGAATTCGGACCGACTTGACCATCACAACGCTAGCGTAAGGCTCGGCTGCGTCCTGTTCGCATTTTGCGTATAGACACAGGCCTTCGACGTCCTCCAGAGTCATTTCCGACCACCCCTTGGGAATTCGAAGCCTCGAAAATCCAAGCCTTTCGGCGGTCGTTTCGACGAACCCGTTCTGCGGGCTATCTGGCCTACAATTAGGAGCGCCCGATGACGCTGTTGGTGTTGGAGCACACGCGTCTTCCGTTTTAGTGTCCTCTTGCCTCTTTGAGGGCTTCGGGAGAACCTGATCGCAGAGGTTTCGCTCCTTTCGTTTCTTCGGCAGTTTCTTGGTGTAGTACTTGGGCGCCTCGGGAAATATGGTGGGGATGGCGTCTTTCGAGAGTAGCGGTCGCTCCCGGGGTCTCTCGACGATTTCGCCCCCGATTTTCGTCCTGAACGAGCGCTCGATGAAGCGCTTGTCGAAGTGACGCTCGCAAACGACGCACGCTTTGTCGAAGGGTCGTGCATTTTTCGGGATGTTGCGCGACCAGGCTGCGCGCCGTTCGGGCTCGGTCGGCGCTTAGAACAGAGACCGCGGCTCCTTGTTCGACGTGTAGCCGCTCTTGCAGCCCGGCACGTAACAGCTATTGTCGCGTTTGTCACGTTTTCTTCCAACGGTCGTCATAATCGTCATTCGACGGGCTTCGTAGGGACCTTCAGTCTTCACAACGTGGCGACATGACGTGGGTAAGCACACAACGGTCACCTTCTTATAGGCGTGTCAAGAAGGGCTGGTTAAGTGACAGCCATGAATTTCTCCAATGACACTGCAACAATACGAAGCGCTATAAATATTCACACTCTGTTAGCCCATCTCCCGCGCAAAACGCTGCTATGACACTGGGCTGGCTTGCACCGGCTTGTAACCGACTGTAACTGACTCACAAACGCGACCGTCGTTGCTTGCTTAAATGAGAGAATTCGCTAAAGCTGGCAAAAAAGACTGAACTGCGACAATGACGTGACTGTTTTTTTTTTAATTCCACAAAGCAAATGAGTGTTGAGACGACAAAAAGTTACAACTAATAAAATAAAGTATTACGAGGCTGTACATAATTATTCAGCGCTGCGTCAGTGTATGTGGAATGCAGTCAAATAAAACGGCAACACACTCTGCTGTGTTTATTCAACCGTCCTCTCCGCTGCACGAGGCAGCTGCACTCTCAATTTTTGCGAGCAATTTTAGTTTTTACCACAATAATAACCGCCATGTACCTTGCCCGCCGTTGCCTGCTTTAGCGGTGGCACACGCACTAGGCGCACATCCGTAGCAGTTTGAAAGTTCGTTAATTAACAGAAATAACTGCATGTGTGGAAGAAAATGAAGCCGCCAATCATGGTTTTGGAGGTATATGCTGCTGTGGAGAAGGGAACATACACCCCTCCTCTCCTGTGGACAAGTTGGGGAAGGGAAAACACACCCTCGCCACCAATAGCTGAATCATGCCTTTATCACCACAAACCCATGCTTAGAAATGCATATCCCAAATGTGGCAAGTGCTGCACGGAAGTAAAAAGAAAAACACAGACGGCTTTGGTTTTGACCCAAAGAGCTGAAAGTTGCTCCTCAATACGTCACATTAACCGCCTTTCCACTCGATGTTATGCCAATGTTACAGTACACAAGCATTATACATAATACGTTTCAGTGTGGGCCTCATAAACTTCAAATTATGCAAGGCAGCACTACATAGTTTTTTTTATCGGAGTATCACCTTGCCAACTTTATAGCAGCGTACCACGTATATTCTGGCAGTGCTCGTTGGCAACGCATAAATATATTGTTTTTTAAACGACATTGATATTGCATCTTGC